GGAAGGTGGCCTAGAGCAGGGGTGCTGCGGGAGGAAGGTGGCCTAGAGCAGTGTTACTGCGGGAGGAAGGTGGCCTAGAGCAGTGTTATTGCGGGAGGAAGGTGGCCTAGAGCAGGGGTGTTGTGCCGCAGGCTCTGAGCGGGGAAGGGCAGTGTAGGCACAGACCCTCCCTGCTCACCACCTCTGTCCCCACAGTGTACTGCTGCTGCTGTCTGGCCAACGTCTCACTGCCTGGCATTGGGGGCACCATTCCTGAGTCCAAGCCTTTCTTCTACGTGAACGTGGCTGACATCGAGAGCCTGGAGGTAGAGGTGTCCTATGTGGCCTGTGAGTACGGGGCCCTCCCCTCATTTTGCCCTCAGGTCCCAGCCCTGCTCCTCCCAGACACGGGGCTCCTGGGTGCCTTGCTTCCTGGTGGGGTCGGGTGGGTTCCCACCTCTCTAACCTTGGGTTCCACAGGCACCACAGAGAAGATATTCGAGGAGAAGCGAGAGCTGTATGACGTCTACGTGGATAACCAGAATGTGAAGACACACCACGACCACCTGCAGCCGCTGCTGAAGATCAACAGTGCGGACAGGGAGAAGTACCGCCGGCTCAACGAGCAGAGGTAGCGGCAGCTAAGGGGAGCGCCAGGGGCTCCACCCTCCTCAGGGCAGCTCCAGCGAGGGGGTCTCTGCAAAGCCTGTTTTCTGCCCCTTCCCTGACGCATTTCTGCCAGTCTCCATGCTGCTTGGGAGAGAGATGGAAATTAAGGGAAGTTCAACAGTGGAAGAGGCCAGGCTCCCAGTATGCTGCCCTGATAGGAAGGGAATAGGTCCATGGTGCTGTTTTCTTTCTTCTCATGGACTTTGGAATCTGTGGAAACTACCTTTGCTGCCAGATGCTGTCTGCGTGACCTTTAGATGTACCTGTGTATGGGGCTTAGAACCCTCTTGACTGAGCATCTTCATTGTGTCGATCGCTGTGTTAGAAGCTTGCTTACGTGTATCTGATGCCATTTTCAATCATTTGGTGATCCTATGAAATAAATGTTATCATCATCATCCCCAATAGATAACTAGGAAAGATTGTTACTTGCCTAAGATTACTAGGGGCAGAACTGCCCTGGACCCCAGGGATATTGAGTCCAAACCCTGTGGATCCCTTTCCTGGCTGATGCTGCTTCCTGGGAGGTGGTGGCCCACTGAAGATGCCTGGCTGAGGCCTCACCTGTGACCAGGGTCCTGGCACCTGCACCGGAGTCTGACGGTGACCTCCTTCCCCACAGGCAGATGCTGTTGTACTCCCAGGAAGTAGAAGAAGACTACAACCCTTGTGAAGAGGACCTCTTCGTGCTGTGAGTCCTGGGGTTGTTGGCATGGGGTCTCGCTGAGGATCCCTTTGGCACTACCTGAGTGACCTGCATCCCTCCCTTGTCACTCACTGTGGGCCAGGGATGCCCTTTATTGCTGCCAAGGGTACTTAGAGCCGGGCTCCTTACAGAGATAAACTGAGCCCTGAAATGCCACTGGGGGAACCCAGAGGACTTAGGGAAAGAAGCAGGGCACTGAAGAGAAACAGGAGTCTTAGTGTCTCTTTTCTTGTTGGGCTTTTACGTCGAGGATGTGTACCCCATGGAAGTTCTGTCTGTCCCTCAGGACTCAGGGACTTCTCATTTCCATTGCCTCCTTTGAATAGAGTAGGTCCTTGCACTGAGTATTATAGGATAATCTGACATTTTAATTCTTGAATGAAATCTCTTTGCCACGTAAGTGCAGGAGCCAGGGCCTTTACACCCCACAGCACTGGCTTCATTCCTAGAGAGCTGGGTGAAGCAGCCTCTGTGATGTGAACTGAATTCTCCCAGCTTCCTATTTGGCCTTCCAGGGGTGAGGTTGGGGAGTAACACTTCTGGTTTGATGTTGAAAACTTAACTGTGGGCATTTCTACAAAGGTGCAGCACCTTGATTCTAATAGAGGACTTCCTAAAACCTACATCCTGTTTAGGTGGAGGGTATCTGAGACTTGAGCACAGCCACAGCCTCATCCAGGCATGACATGTGTCATTGTGTCTGAAATTCCTGAGCACCCAGGACTGCTTCAGGCCCCGGGCCCTTTGCTAACCTGAGAGCTGTAGGGGGCTAGACCGTCTAGTCTAACTAGACAGTGAATGCTGTCCTGAACAGGGCTTGTTTGTTCATAGAGCACTCTAAAGCCATGACTTTTAAATCTTGATCTGTGCGTAACCTCACTCCTCCCAAAGAGTCATCAAGGGATAGCATACACCCAAGGATAACGTTGGCTCAGGTTCATTTTGTTGTTGTTATTGTTGAATTTTCACTTCCTCTTATGACTAAGCAGAAAGAGAGAAAAGCAGAGTGTGGGGGCCTCTTCCCTGGCTGTGTTTAAACCCTGGTCACTTCCCTCTTAACAGGAAAATGGATTTTTGACAGGCCGTCTTGCTCAGAGATTTCCATAATTCTGACCACACCATAATTAATGACAAGTGGTTTCTTTGCTAAACATTAGTAGCACTTGAATCATTGTTTAACTTTTACTCTCTTTCCTTCTTTTAGAAGATCGCTTCGAATCCACTGAAAAGTATATTAAAATAGTATAGTTTTGGTTCCTCATATGTGGATTATCTGGTGAGCTTTTTTTCCCCCTTCCTTTCCTTTGTCTTGTCTTCCAAATGCAGGTTTTTCCTAGAACAAAACAACCGGATATTTCAGACTTTGTTGGAGGTGTCTGCAAGTCAAGACAAAACTCTGACAGCAGAGCATGCCCGGGGCATGGGTCTAGACCCCCAAGGAGACCGGAGCTTCCTCCTGGACCTGCTGGAGGCCTATGGCATTGATGTCATGCTGGTTATTGACAACCCCTGTTGCCCGTAGGAGGAGCCAACAGGACTGGGAGCCGCCTCACGTGGGATGTGAGCAGCCTGGAGTTCATCCTAGGCCCCCAGAGGGCCTCATTTTTTTTAATTAAGTTGACACAAAGGAATATTGTTTATACTTTCCAACAAATGTAATTTTTGCAATTTCCTTTCTGCCCTTTTCCCTAGAGGTAAGGTGAGATCGCCTTGGTTTTGTGTCCGGCCGTGCTAGGATGCTGGAATCTGCCACTTTTCCCCAGAGCTGCTGGTCCTTTGGGTTTGGTCTTGGTTGTATCACTAGGAGTGGGCTGAGCTCTGGAAACATTGGGATGGACTCTTCAGAAAGTCTGTGTTGTCTTTGTCCCTTGATGTATTCGAGAATAAGACAACCATCTGTCCCGTGTGGCCTTAGATGTTCATCTGTCTAAAGGCAGAAACTAGACCAGATGATCTTTTAAGGTTTTTAGTAGTTCTAGAAGTCTATAGTTTTGGGATCAAATCCCTTTTCTTGTTCATTAGGGCAACTCAGTGTCTTCTCTGTTTACTTGAATAGGGACCACAAAGAGAGACAAAAGGATGCTTCTGACATCAAATGTGAGTTTATCTTACAGTCAGAATGACAGAAGTTGCTTATCAGTAAACTGAAAACTAAAATTACAGAATGAAGCCTTGAAACCTTCCTCAAGGTAACTTAATGGTGGCCATGCAATGTCATGTTCCTCTTTCTCTGAACCCCTCTTGGGATAAATCAGGAAATTGCTAAGGGCTAATGCTGGCCTTGAAGCTTGCAAGCAAATTCATTTTCCAATTTAGTCTCTTAAGGGTTCAGTGTGCCCTTGGAGTAAGTTGGGTATTTTTAAAGGGTAAAGTTTGGGCTGCTGGAGGATAGAACAGTTGACGTTCGAGCAGGATAGAGAAGCCGCTCTATGAGTCACTTCATCTGGACACGAGTTCTCTGGAGGCATTAGTAGCAACACCTCTGGGTCAACACAGATGTACTGGATTCCGGAATCTAGCAAGCATCTGAGCTGGTTAACTCAGAGGGTGGAGCATGATGCTAACAAGACCATTTATCACTTTGGACCCCTCACAAACACACTTCTCTTTAGCAGAGGTGACATTCCTTAGGCTAAATAATTGGATTTAGGGACATAACAGATTTGTTAGAAAATGTGGCAGTGGTCACACCCAGGACACTGGTCAGGAAGCCTGAGCATCAGCGATGGATTTATCTATCCATCCTCTGCAGTGCTGTGCTCTAGGCTGGGTCTCGCTCCTTGCCTGTTCTCTCTGGTTGGCCTTTGCAGGAGGGCAGCTTACGTGTTTGTCAACCAGTTAGCCAGTTCCTGTGAGTTGAGTTTAGGCCTTTTTGGCCATGGTTGAGGATTTTGATTTGGGATACCGGGTTGTTGACGACAAATAATTTCTTCCTCCATACCCTTCTCACCTGGCTGTGTTATTGGAATAGCCCATCAATGAATACATCCATGTCTGTGACCAAGACCCAGCCAGACTAATGTACACAGCAGAGAGAAATAACATTCAAATGGTGGGTCACACATCTCATCCCAAGATAAGGTTCTTACGGTTCATGCTTTATTCAAAAGTGTTTTTCACTATAGCTCCTTCATACGGAATATCAAAACTGAAGAAATTCATATGTGGAAATGCAAATAGACATTGATTAATGAAGGTAGCATCTTTATGTAAATATATAAATAAGTTTGGGCATTGAAATGTAAACTGTACAGCTAATACACTTTTCTCTGCACTGTGAGTTGCCACCATTTCAGTAAGGTGTATGTTTACAAAAGAAAAAAAAAATCCATGTTTTGAGGTTGATACCTCACCTATTTTCTCCTTCACATGCAACCCTCTCCTCTTGCCTCTGAAGGGTTGATGGGTCCTTTCTAACTTAGGCCAAGTAATGGTTACTTTTCGTGGTATCCTGAGGCTCAGGGTGTTTTAAGCTGGGGGTAGGTGGTTAGAGGTAGGAGTAGGGGTGAAAGGAAAGGCCTGATTCTCCTAGAGGACACAGGAAGACTTCCTTTTTCTGGATTTGGGGAATCTGCCAGGAGGGCTGCTTTAGGCATTTCTGCTCCGAGCTTTCTGTATGCAAACACTTTTGTTTCCTGTGCTGTTTTAAACTGCAAGCTCAGAAGTGCTGGTATCAAGGTAGCAGGGTGAGAATGAAGTTCCTGTATTTTCCTTTGAATGGTGAGTCTGGGCTTCTGGGTTCCCTTAACTTGTGCTTGTCTAGGTAGCTTTCTCTTGCATCTCCATGTGTCACCCTCCCACTCATGGAGAGGGCCAGGGTATGGGTGGCCCCAGAGGAGAATGTGCCAGTGAGGCAGTGCCATGTTTCAGGTCATAGGGGCCTTGGGCTCAGCTGACCCCAATGCAGAACTTCTCCCTTTAAGAGAGATCCCAAGAAATTGGTCCTTCCCTACCTTGCCAGCTTCTTCAGAGGGCCAGAAATCTTGCTTAGAGCTTCTGCTTGGCTGAACAGCTTGTGCGTTATCTCTTCGGTTACCTTTGCCACCGTTGATCGTCCTCAGAGTATGTCTTGCCTGGGCTATGAAGTGGAGGCTGTGGCCTCCAAAATCACCTAAGGCTTGCTTTGTACCAGATTCTGCTCCCCCACATCAGAAATTAGCAGGCACAACCCGGGATCCTTTGCTGCCAGTTTTCTACAAGGGGAATTCCACAGTGACAACAGAAGCTAGGAGCCATGTGGACCTGCTTTTCTGCCAGTCTTGAAATATTTTCTGAGAAGCCATCTGCTTTTGTTCAGAAGAAAGTGGTAAACATCGTTCACAGACATCTAGGTCTGTAAGCTCTTTAGGGGCGGGCATGATGATTATCATTGACCTCCTGGAGCAGGGTTGGAAACCTGTGGTGTGATACCTTCTGCCACTATCTGCTGCCTGGCCTCAGCCCTCGCCTGCCTATGCAGGCCTAGTTCTCCTGTGAAGCTGTAAGCCTGATCACATGCCATACTGTGAATGAACCATGTGCTGGTTTGGAAATAACTTGCTCACCTGAGATGCTGGCTAGGCTGCCCTATTTATTGTTCCTAAGTTAGAAGATCCCAGATGGGAGTAGAATCCATGTTTGGAGCTTGTTGGTATCCATGTAAAATATGACAAAGGCCTGTTAAAGGGGGTGTTTTCAATTCTGTAGGCTCAGCAGATGATACTGCTCAGCCTTTGGGAAAATGTCCAGTTAGCCCCTGGCTTAGGACTCTCCACAAGGAGTTAGAAATGGTAGAGCTTATCTCCTACCAGACTAAAAAAAGCATGGGCCAAATTATGTGTTCAGAATTTGCTTGGGCTTTTAATGTGAAATATTCTCTACGCCTGCTGGAGACCATTCCAGTGTCAGTGTCCCAACTGGGACCTGTACGATCCTCAGTCAATTATGATTAAAATGAATTAGAAGGCTTTTGCCTTCCATATCTATCATCTATTATAGCATCTCTGCTTCCATCTGGTTAAGGGAGGGAAGCTGAAATCACTGATGTATCAATAGAAGTAATTTAGCATAGGAACTTGCATTTGTAACTTATCTTGTTTTGTTCTACTTGAAAGTCAAGAAAGTTAAGATAGCACACGGTGCAGATGCTCCCAGATGCCACATGTGAAGATTTGTGACCATGTGACTACTGATGATCTTTTGGCTAGAAGATAAATCTTAGCTAAATCACTGTTTTTCATTCTAAGGGCTATGAGGATGAATTTGCTATCAGTCTTGATACACTGAAAGCCATTCAAACACACTAAAAGATGAAATCACTCACCTTTAAACTGAGGCCTTCAGGGAAGGGCAGTAATGAATTAGCCTTTCAGTCATAGGACATCAACCCTCCTAGAAGAGGCAGAGACCTGAGGGACCATTTATTTCCCTTTGAAACTGCATAGCCCAGGGACTGGATTAAGATGCTTTCTCCAGTCTCTGTATAGGTCAGCCTTGCATAGGTAAAGGAAGAGTGGGCAGGTGGATGAATAAAATAGGATAATGCTCAGCTTGGCAGTGAACTTGCCTTATTGTGATGACAGTTCTAACATGGGCAAGAAAATTAGCATGGGGACCAATATGCCAGGCATGGGCTTTTATCTCCCTAATAGATCCCAAGCTTAGTGGGCTTGGATTCTGCGAAATGGCCAGTGCTCCTCTCTTGTCCCCTGTACCTTATAGTTATACCCTGGGGTGGGAATCCTGCTGACCCTAGTCCCGTCCCTTCTCATTTCAGGAGAACTCTTTTCTGATTCAGGTAGGGGGAGAGGGGGAGTTAAGGGCTCCATTTACTCCCAAGTCATGGATTTTTAATATTCCATTTTTATTACTAATATACCTCTGTTCCTAGAAGCTACTGGCGTACTGAGTGTTGTGGGAAATGGCTGTGAATTAAGTTAATGTTTTTCTTATAAGAAATGGAAGTTTATTTTTTTATTGATATTACTGTGTGATGAAATGAGTATGCATATACTGAAATGGAAGGAAATTTTAAAACTATTCTAGAGGAAATGGGCAGTTTTGTAATTTGGTAGTGGCTGAGACCCTATAGAAGTTTTACTATGTAAATAATTTGGAGAGTGAATAAGGAGATTGTGCTATAAAATCTTGACAGCGCTCTTTAGGAGGCAGACTTGACAGTCCTAGGAAGGTTGACATAAAAACACCAACCTTAAGTAAAACTCTAGTACAAAAAAGGGTAAATGGCATCATTCTTATTTTTGGGCCTCTTTCTTAACTGGAGAGAGGTGGGAGTGGGAGGTAGATTTATAACTGGCACTTTAATTCATTTTTGGAACTAGAATTTAGGGGCAGTTGGATGAAATTGCAAATTTAGAAAGGGAATAAGAATTTTCTAGTGCTATATAAAGACAACGGAGAAAAAAAGCCTTGCTTTCATCTTTTTAGAATTCTCGAATTTTAGCATACTGTGGGGCTTCTAGAGTTAATATGATCTAAATTCAGAAAATTTAATTTTCATAGTAGGCCAGGTATGAATTACTTATGTTTCCTGTAGAATGCTTATTTAGACTAATAATAAATTTACTTTGCTTTCTAAGGCCAGTCAGCAAGTGTGGGGGTGAGGCAGGATGTTTTAATTAGCCAGAGATGATCCATAAAGTGAACAGTCCACACAGAGGTCACTGAGTTGGATGGTTGCAGATATTTAATTGACATTAGAATGAAAACTCCTTCCTTTGGGTAAACTAAACAAAAAGTATACTAAAAATTTTAAGATGATGTTACAAAAAAAAGTTTCGGTCTAATGTGTCCACAAAGATTGTCAAGTAAAGAATGGTGGAGATTCTTGGCTTTTGAACAACCACCCTGGATGAGTGACTTCAGGGACAGAGAGCAGAGGAAAGCAAAATGAATTTTCTGTGTTTACCCAAAGCTTGTTGACTGAATTTTTGTACAGGTCTGGGAAAATAAGCCTAAACAAATAGTTGTAGCCTTAGAAAAACTTTTCCCATTTCTTTCTAAGAATCAGCATAGCCTCCCTGTCGCCTTAAAGGTAAAACTCCTATTTTGATTAATAACCCAGCCTAAGAGTTATAGCAATACGAGAGACTGAATCTATTTTTGTTTCAGGTATTTACCTCATATTATGAAATTGGTAAGACACTTAATAAATTTTGCCCTGAATACTGGTGTGCCCAGGTATGCCGTGCTCTCTCTGTTGCCAGTGGTGGTAATTTTAAGACCTAAAGAAAGCTGGGGTTAATCCTGAAGCTAAGAGTAAATGTTTCTTGAATTGATTTTGTTCTGTGGTACAAATAACATCTATGAATATTGTATCTGTATATATCTGAACCAAGTTATGTGCAGAGAGGTTGACATAACTATATTTACAGAAAATGATTTTTACAATTAAAGTTCACATTTTAACATGAACATGTGTGCTGCAATCCCTTCTCTAGTCCAAGAAATGTGGTTTGTGGTAGGAAGGAATGGTGGCCCACCCCACGAGCAGAGCTGTGGGGCTGAACCTGACTTCACTTGCAGTCCTGAATGGAGGAGACTGGGGAGCTGCTACCTGTCCTCCTAGAAGCCACGATCAGGACAAACTTTCTCCAGGTAATAGGAAACAAAGTTGGGAATAACTACACCACCCAGAAGACGAGTTTAAAACTGTATGTATATATTTGGTATATGTGTATATTCTAAACTTCTATTTCATTTTTAACCTTTTGGGGAGTCGCCAACATTCATTTAGAACTGGTATAGAGTACACTGCTGGCGGCGGCTCTGTAAATCAAATGGCCTGGAATCAAAGCCGGGTTCCTACTTTCTGAGCTGTGTAACCATATAATATTACAGACTGAATGTCCCTTATTTGAAATGCTTGGGACTCAGAAGTATTTTCAGATTTCAGATGTTTTAGGATTTTAGAATCTTTGCATTATAAATCCAAAACCCAAAATGTTCCACTGGGCACTTCCTTTAAGCATCATGGTGGCAAGGTTTCAGATTTTGGAGCATTTCGGATTTCACCTTTTCAGATTAGGGATGCTCAACCTGTAGCTACTTCCTAGGGTTGTTGTGAGAACTGATGCATCAGTTACGTGTGTGAAGCACTGGCACATAGGAATTATAACTGCATACAAATATGTGCAAAGTAGGTATGAGGAAAAACGCTTTATGTTAAGCTCTTATAGAAAGCAACTACGGTGTTTTTAACAAAAGTAATCTTTGCATTTAAGTGAAATTAACCTGTCAAAAGGTTTGTACTAAACAAAATCACCTGGAAAAGGAGGCTGACTTAAAAAATGCAGATTCCTGGGCCCCAACCCCAAACTGGGTTATTAAGTTCTCCTCCAGACAGCTCAGCATTCCAGCTTTGGCTGACAAGGCTCACTCTCTTTTAGTTGCATTGTTAAACATCTTCCATGCAGGCCTTATGGGGAAGGACAAGGCAAAGAACAAAGCAGTCAACAATAAGGAAACCAAGCCCTCACAGGAAAGAGCCTCAATCAAGAAAACAAAGTTTGAAACAAGGTATATTTATATTTATAACTGAATTAAGATTCTAATGTGGCTTCCATATCCTTCCCTAATTATATGTACCATTATGATTAGAACCACAAAATGAGCACACATATACACAAACTGGTAGCCTAGCAAAGAAGCAAGCCAGATTCTGCACTGGTCCTTGATACTGTTACAGAACCATGATATGCTGAATGCTCTCAGCTCAGGTGAAAACTTTTATTTTCATATACCACAGTATCCCTTCTCTCTGTCCGTGGGTGGTATGGGATGAGTGATCTTTATGCTGATGTTTGCAACCATCTGTTAGGTCTTTGCTAAAAGCAGAAATTTTACCACCCTGAAGAATATACAGTGTGAAATAAGAAGGCCTTACATTTTGTGATCTTCATTCATGGACTTTTCATAGCTGTTCTGTAATCCACTAAAGCATTGGTCGTGTCTCTCCATGGGATGTGTGGGCATGGTGTATGTAGTCTATCTTAAATGGGATCTGCCTGAGAGTAAGCCTGTATAGCTCAGGCCTGCCAGCTCTGCTTCCTCCCTTTCCCCCCTCGCAGTCTTCGCTCCTTGATCTTCCTGTGGTGCACTGCCGTCTAGAGTGTAAGAACCTCAGGGGCACTAAACAAAGGAAAATTGGTCAGTGGTAGGAAAAGTAAATGGTGTCAATGACAGGCTTGGCAAATCAGGTGGATTTCAGTTCTCTGCCTTCAACAACTAAAGGAGAATCTAATCAAGTTGTTAACTGATAGATCATTATTAATAATTCTTGATAGAGCACTATGATTTTTGTCGAAATTCCAAAGGAATTCAAAGAACTGCACAAAATTAACATACTTCTTTCTATTCTCATAGAACTTATGTGCTTACATCTATAAAGAAATGAAACAAGGAATACAACTGAGGTTGAACCCCATCTCAGCTGTAAATAACATTCGTGTACTCTTGGATAAATGAACTAATTAGGTTAAAGAACATTCTAATAGAACAATTTTTAATCATCAAATAATTATATTAATATTTTCATTATATACCAATAATATTTGTTCTGGACTGACAGAAGAACTAAAAAAACTTACTTATTTCCATTTATACTTTTTTGTTGACAAGGAGATAATGGGGCGAATGATTAAAAGATGTCAGGCATAATAGATTACATTATGACAGGACTCTTGGCTGAAAGTGGTATGGAAATACAGAAGGAGAGAAGCCAATTTAAAATGTTCAACTACTAAAAAACTAGCTCATTTATTTTTATAAATGAATGAACGGTGTCAAATTGTTGTGATATTTAAATGGTACTGAATATATTTAAAATAGCGATATAACAGTTTTTATTGTAAAATACCAATATTTACACAACACCAGCAAATACATACTTTGTCAACTATTTAACTTCCCATGAAAAATTTTAGGTGGCAACTTAGATGGGTGAGGGGATACATGATTTTTCAAAATACTTTTGGGGGGGCACATGAGCAGAATACTTTGTGGACCACTGTTTTTAAAACACTATTTCTCCAAGTATGGCTGAGGGACAACTTACAGAATCACCTGGGAAGGGTGGCTGACTTTTAAAAAATGCACACTCCTGGGCCCCTTCCCCAAATTGGGTTGTTAGGTTTGGGGTGGACCCCAAATAAATTTTCAACATGCATCCCAGGTGGCTCTCATGCATACCATTTAGGAAGCACTACTTAAAAAAATAAAAACTAGCATTTTACAGTATTATAGCCATGGCTGGAGGTGAAAACCACCTCACATACATTTCTGGACTGAGGATAGAACTGAAATAAAAGCTAAACAGAAGCTGGAGCTCACAAAATAGCAGCACCCATGGAGGAGCCTAGAACTAGGAAAGGGTCACCAGGGAAGGAAGACACTTCCCCGGAATTACTAGCACGGTCAAAGAACAGAACAAGAATGGAGGGGCTTAGGCAGGCTAAGCCCACTGTGGGCTCTCCACTGTGGTTGCACTTTTGGATAAAACAGAAGAAAGTCCTTTTCCATCTTGAACCAGCCTGAGGAAAGCTCGTGTTTAGGAGGGTCGACCATCACACCAAAATAAAACATGCACTAACGGAAGCTGATTGCCAAGCAGGTGACAGAGCACACTTTGGGAAGCACTACTGGAGGGGGGCAGAGACATACTTGCCATGAAAATGCCCTTGGGACCCTCTGTCAACACTTTTGGGATGGTTGAGTCACCTGTTCTGTTTTGGTCCCGCCAATGGCCTAAAGTGTAGTCTCAGAGCACTTGCCTTCTGCCTGCTCACTGGGTGGGGCTTGCCAGCAGTTCTCTTTTCCTAGGATCACAGAAGAACTGCAGCTTCCTGGGGAGCAGTTTCACCTCCACAGGCATTGCTTCATACTCCTCACTGTCAATGCTAAAAGAGCCCCCGGCTCCCTGGGGAGAAGAGAATATTCAGAACAGCTCACACCCACATCAGTGGCCTGCTTGAATTGGAAGTCTCTCAACAGCATCAGAATTTCATTATTGGAAAATATCATCCTCTCTTGAGAATTTATCCTAATGTTCTTTTACAAAAAAAAAAAACTTCAGTGCCTACTATGATGGGCACAGTGCTGGTTCTGGAAACATCCTAATTCTACCATCCATGAAAGGATTTACTTCCTTTTTTTGGCTCCTATCTCTTTCCAGAGTATTTTGGGATTTGAACAACATGGTTATAATTTTCAAATATGCATTAAAAGGTAAGGGTCCTGACACATCTTTAAGGAATTTATAAACATAATATAGTCCTTTTATATTATGCTAATCCTTGTCAAATAAAAATAGAGAAAGACAGCTAATTCTCTTATGACAAGCTATTATATCTGCTGGATCATTTTCATTATTCCTTAAGACTTGCTCAGATTTACACCTAAGGTGTATCAACATTAATATCATTACAGGATCTATGAAACCCTTACATAACTCATGCATTTAATTCAATATTTATATCAAAACTGTGATGCCAGTCACTATGGGGATAGCTTCTGTTTACCTATAGTCTTGTTTGAATAATATAATGGCCACATGTCTTCGAAGGCTATCTGAAAGGGCTCCTTTTTTCTCTATTGCCAGTTGAATAACCTAACAATTCAGATTCTATTTCCATTTTTTTTTCACTTACGTAGGTTATTCTAAGCATGGCATTTCATAATACAGAAAAATTCAGTGTTGAACTAAAAACTGATTCCAGATCCTTTGTAAAAAATGTTAAAGTAAAAGCCACTATTAACATTTGCCAGCTAGACAATTCTCTGTACATCTTAATGTAATAACCTTCTGCATTTTTTTACATATGGAAAAATAAAAGCTAGGAGACCTAAAAATCAAGAACCTTGGCTCAAAAATGATGGGAGCCTTAAGGAGTCCAACTCTAAATCCGTGACTCCAAAGGGGATTCTGCCATCCTTTTCAAGTCCCCCCTAATATGAGCCAGAGCCTGGAAAAATGCTTGGCACATAATACTAAGTGTGGATCAGCTAACAGGAAGGAGGGGACACACAGAGGGGCAGGCCGATGAAGAATGAATCAAACACTGTGGGACTACCGACCCCCTTCCCCACTCACCTCGGGGACAAGCAAAGTGCACTGGCTGGCTTGGAGACACTCCGTGCCCTCAGCATGCAGCTTGGGGTTCCTCACCTTTCGACTTCTGTGGGCACAGGAAAAAGCAAGCTTGACACCAGTGATGGCAACTGCATTAGGGTGCAACAATGTAGCAATTCTTTCCCCCTTTTTTATGAGGTAACATAAGTGGACAGATGGTCTATTAAGCCACAGAGTTCTATAAATAATTTTTCCAGCAGTGATTCTTACTTAGTATTGTGATACATTCTGGACTGAATGTAGAGAACTGTGCATGAAGTTATGACTTTCTCTGAATTCTTTTTAAATCATTCCACATGTACCTAATTCTTAGACTGTTAGTCTCAAATTTGAAAATTACAATGAAATTAAATTCTTTAGGAAAAGTGCTAAACTTCTGGTATTTGGTACTTGTGATCGATTACTTGAAGAAGAAAATATTTCTACTCTAATGTAGATCTTTCTTTTATGTAAGACAACTAGTCTTAAAAGTTCTCTGATGACTTCCTATCTGTGGGTCCCACTCCTGTGGATTCAACCACCTGAGGATAGACAATACATACATATTTGCATCTGTACTGAAAATGTACAGACTATCTTATCCCCTAGACAATACAGTAAAACTATTCACATAGCATTGACATTGTATTGGGTATTATAAGTAATCTAGAGAAGATTTAATATGCATAGGGAAGATGTGCACAAGTCTACGCAAATACCATGCTGCTATATAGAAAGGACTTGAGAATCTGGATTTTGGTATCTGAGGGAGGTCCTGGAACCAATCCCCCAAGGTTACTGTGGGATGACTGTATTTATAACACAGTCTACTTGGCATATAATATCTACCTAGACTCAGTGACTATGGAGTAAAATTTCCAGCACATATAGACACACTCCACCTCATGCTATACCTGTGACAGCTAGGCAGGGGAAATACAGTAGAAGCTAATCCAAGTCAATTAGTCCGTTATTTATCATTCATTAACAGTAATTCTACGAAACTATCAGTTTTCTACGCAGCTTCACAGTGTTCTCTTCAGATACCCAGAGGAAACAGACATTACTTGATTTCACTTCCTGTAGAGACCAGAAGGACACTGTGGCCGCTGCTGGTGCTAACAATGCAGAACATAGTGGCTTCGCCTAACCTAAGCAATAGAATTGGGGTGTCTACTTCTGGATACCAGTATCGTAAAGGAATCTGAATATTGCTGGTCTCGCTGGCCAGACTGTCAATGAAGGTTGTGTGATTTCTGGACATTCTGCAGAAGAAAGAGGATTTTCCCTTCTTTTTCCTATCAATACAGCAAGAAAATCAAAAGCTGCAGAATCAGCTATTCAGCCTCTGAAGAATTTATGCAAAGGCGAGAAAAACCAACTTATGTGCCTGTGTAGATAATGAAGTAGCCATGGAGACCAGGCCGTTGCAGCAGAAATGTGTGATCCCTAAATGGGCACGAGAGGGAGCTCTGAGACAAAGCACAAAAAAGCGGAGCCGAGCAGATTACCAGTTGGCATGGGAACACGCCAGCTCCTCAGATGCTCTGAAGGCCGGTGGAGGATTTATAGTATTCTTAACCAATAAAATTCTGGCAGAGGTAGGACTTAACAAATCACAGGACTTGGAAGAGTATTCTGTATTGGAAAAAGGCCTGGGAAATGTCCAAGGTACACCTTTTCCAGTTTTTCATAAAGGCCCTAGGAATAGGAGGACATGGTGAACTGACATAAACCGTAATGGGTACTGTGAAGTGCTTCACAATAGAAAAAGACTTTACACACATTCTCTTACTCCAGACTGAAAGTCAGTCCTGAGATCGGCAGAGATGATCATGTTATTCTATTCTCTAGACAGGGAAAGGATTCAGAGACGCTAAATGATCCAACTTATGACATCAGTAAGTGACAGAATCAAAATTTGCATTCAGCTCTTTGACCCTGAAACCAAAGTTCCTGATGCTATGTCATGCTCCATTGAATTCTTAGGTTTCCACTGAAAAAGACTGCTCTTACATTCTGAGCCCCACAAAATTAACAGTGATGTCCAACATAGGAGAGGGGCACTATACATGTCAGCCCACAGTAAAGAAATGACGTAAAAATTCCCAAACAAGACAAGGCTTTGGCTGGACCCTGTCTTAGACTTCATGGCACACTCTGAATAGTAAAGTCTGAGAAAACCACAAGCATCATTTCCCATGAACCCCAGTCCACTTACCCTATAGTTATAAAGTCTCCTTTGCTGACGGAGTCAGGTTCAATGCAGATGTTCATAAAATCTTCTTTGCTCTAAAAGGTTAAGAACATGAATGTCATTACTTTTTTTTTTTTTTTTTTTTGAGACACAGTTTCCCTCTTGTTGCCCAGGCGTACAATGGCGCGATCTTGGCTCACCACAACCTCCACCTCCCGAGTTCAAGCGATTCTCCTGCCTCAGCCTCCCGAGTAGCTGGGATTACAGGCATGCACCACAGCTAATTTTTGTATTTTTAATAGAGAGGGGATTTCTCCATTTTGGTCAGGCTGGTCTCGAACTCCTAACCTCAGGTGATCCGCCTGCATCGGCCTCCCAAAGTGCTGGGGTTACAGCTTTGAGCCACCACTCCCAGCCGAACGTTATTACTCTTAAAATTTGGCTAATGCAGCCTGTTGCCATCCTCAGCTTTGACGGTTCATAGTTTGAAGCTATGCGTAGTTAGGGGACTCTACTTGTAGTGACTTAATTCTGAACATATTTTCAGTCTTTTTCACTAAGCGCTTTACTGAGGTATACTTTATAGAAAATTCATCTCCATTGCTTGGCTTTTTATTACTACATAAGCAAAAGAAAAACTCCGAGGGGGAGGTTCTGGAAGTTGTCACTCACTAGTAGTCATAGCTGCTCTAGTCTCTAGGATTACTTCTTTTGCAGGCCAAGCTCTCAGCCCATCCCAGCAATCTCAGTGTTCACTGCATATCAGCTTCACATCAGAGCATGGAATCATCTGCTTGGTGTGCAGAGCCCAGGTGGTTGTGCTCCTTTAAATGCTCTACATGCAAATTTGGTGTGCAACCAGAGTTGAAAAACAGCAATCCATTTATTCTATGATAATGTTTAGAAACTTTCCATTTCCAGCCACAGAAAGCCCTGAATGATTTGAGCTTCGACAAAATGGCTATAAAAACATGTTTGGTTCTTAGACCACACCCCATAATTTGCTGCCAGTCATTTACAGAGGCCACACAAACCTGGCCTCTGTAAATCAGTCCCACAACTTCTGTGTCAGCTTCAATAGAGGTCTTGTTTCTTTTGGGGTAGTTCAAATCTGCAGGTCCAGGATAACCCACAGGCCTCTGGGAGCCTTGAAGCCTTTGCCTAAGATTAAAGGGTAACTAACAACTAATTCTCAGCTAAGAATTACAAAGCACAAAGTGGATGACTTTGAAAATTCACCTTTTATTCAACTACTTAGTGCCAATCATGCAACATGAACTCACGGAGCTTGGGTTATGCCAGTGAACAAAACCCACATGAATTTCTGCCTACAAATAACTTACTTTCCATGGTAGAGAGTGAAGGGAATAGATCAATCATAGTAAGGCGGTAAATTATAGACTCTGTTGGAAGATAAGGATATCACAAGTATATTAAGAGTATATTAGAAAATAAGACCAAGGAAGCAGAGCAGGGAACATGAGGCGCTGATGGCAGTGGCTGCATTATGGAAGGGGGTCCGTGGAGAAGCCTCGGAGCAGAGGCCTGAAGGAAGTGAGGGAGTCAGCGATGTGGACATCCAGGGCAGTGGGTCTCAAACTTTAGCAAGTGTCACTGGAGAGCATGGTAACACTCAGAATCTGGTTTTTGTTCGTCAACTAAATATATAAATATAAATATATATAAATATATATATATATATATATATATTTTTTTAACTCAGACTCTGGCCCATCCCAAGTTTCTGGTTTAGTAGATCTGGGGTAAGGCCCATGAATTTTCATCTTGAGCAACTTCTACTTGATACTGATGTGCTGATCTAAGGACCAGACTTTGAGAACCCCTAATCCGGGGATGAGCAATCCACACAAGGGGAACTACCGGGGCAGAGGCCTTAGGTTGGTAGCAGGGGACATACCTGACAGGAGCAGGGAAGAGCAAGGAAGCCTCTGTGGCTGGAGCAGAGCGAGTGACAAGGACAAGAAGCGAGGAAGACAGAGGGAAGAGAAGCTACATCAGCAGGGCCTCATAGACCATGGTGAGGAAGCTGGCTTTTAGGCTGAATGAAGCAGAGAGCCACTGGAGGGTTCTAAGGAGGGAAATATGTTCTGGCTCCATTTTAGCCAGAGGATCACTCTGGCTGCCATGTTGAGAATTAAGACAGGAGCAGTATTGGAGAGGGAGACAGTGGGCTAGGAATTAACATTATAGAGAAATGTGTAGGAATGGCCCGGGGTTCAGGAGCTCCCAGGAGCAGTGATCTCTGGGCTGGGGGGTGAGTTAGAGAGGAGGAAGAAGAATGGGTTAAAGCAGTGATGAAGAATCAAGAGGACAACCACCAAGTCACCAGGCCCAGCGTACAAGGGGAGGAAAAAAAAGAAAATACAGCCACTGCTTAAAGGCTGTGGGGAAGGCAGAGCCCAGGGGAGAGCCACACTGCAGCTAGAACAGGGGTCAGGAAACTTTCTGTCAAGAGCCAAAGAGTGAACACTGTAGGTTTGCAGACCATGAGGTCTCTCTCACAGATACTCAGCTCAGCCATGGTGGTGTGAAGGCAGCCAGAGACAACACTCAAATGAATCAGCATGCTTGTGTTCCAGTAAAATGTTACAGACAGTGAAATTTAAAGACAATTTCCAAATGTAAAAGAATAATACTATTTTTTTTTTTTAATGATTTAAAAATGTAAAACATTGTTAGCTTCAAGGCTGTACAAATATGGCAGCAAGATAGTCGGGCCTGTGGTTTGTCCTTTGCTGACCCCTGTTCTAAAGCTTTGTTCTGGAGGCACAGTTCAGTTACTTATAAAGAAACTGTGGTTCTCCAGAGGTGAGCCTTTAGCTTTGTTAATGGTGAACAGGGCAGCCTTTAGTCTAGAATTAATTTTGACTTACTAGTGAGGCAATACCTTTTTGAGGACACTACTCAATGCTCCATGTCTGAAGAGGATTTTCTACTCTAATTGGTTCGAACATGAACTATTCCTGGCTTTGTGAGAGGACTGACTCTTCTGAGACTGTCCCACCTGCTCCTTATTGGTAACTCAACCTCCGGTCTTGGGTGGTGGTTTCTCACATACATGCACCTGTCAATACTCAGCTGAAGATTCCAGAGAAAACCTCCATAAACCTCTAGTTCAGTTCTGGGTGCAGCTCTCCTCTCTGTGTCTCTCTCTTGTATTCTGCCTTGCAATTCTAGCTGCCTTGATTTCTCAAAATTCTCAAAGGCCACCTCAACTGAGGGAGGCCATGGGCTCTGTCACCCAGGCTGGAGTGCAGTGGCACAATCTTGGCTCACTACAACCTCCGCCTCCCGGGTTCTAGTGATTCTCCTGCCTCAGCCTCCTGAGTAGCTGGGATCACAGGTGCATGCCACCACACCTGGCTAATTTTTGTATTTTTAGTAGAGACGGGGTTTCACCATGTTGTCAGGCTGGTCTCAAACTCCTGACCTCGTGATCTGCCCCCCTCAGCTCCCCAAAGTGCTGAGATTACAGGAGTAAGCAACCACGCCTGGCCGATTTTGTCCAATTTTTAAGGTGTTTAAGGTATAAAGCTGGTGTTTTCTGCTTCATCTTGGCTAGAAGTTTCACGTTAACAATCAAAAATCAATTCATTCTGTTGCTTTGACAGATTAAATGAGGAAACTATTATCTCAATAGATACTAAAAGAGTACTTGATAAAATTAAATATTTAAGATATTTAACATGAAAGATAAAAATGCTTAGCAAACTGGTACCGAGATCGCACCATTGCACCCCAGCCTGGGCAACAAGAGTAAAACTCTGTCTCAAAAAAAGATATTATTTAGAATAGCATAAAAAATTAAGATAACTGGGAATATATCCAGTAAGATATATATATATATCTATAGATATATAGATATTAGGCTATTCTAGAGAAAACTATAAAATTTCATTGAAAGACACTGAAGACCTAAATAAATGAAGAGATATACCCCATTCATATGCTACAGGAGTCAGTACTGTAGAGATGTCATTCCTCTCCAAATTATTCTATGGATACAATGCAGTAAGATCAATATTATAACATTTTTATGTGGAATTTAATAAAATCAACATTCTAAAATATTTATGGAACTCAAATGAGCTAAGAATAGCCAAGAGACTGTAAAAAAAAAAAAAAAAGAAAAATATAGTGGAACTTATAAAACTATAATAATTAAGAGAAGCAGAGTATTAGTACAAGTATGAGAAAACAGAACAATAGAAGAAAGAGACCAGAAACATTTACAGGTATATAGGCATGACGTATGGCAGAGATTTATTGAAGATCAGTGGGGGGAAATGGACATTTCAATAAATGGTGCTTGGACAACTGGCTTTCTATTTGGAAAGAACATAAAATTGGAGCTTGACCTCCATCAGTCACAAAACTCACTTATAGGTAGGTGGGAGTATTTCCTTTTTAAAGAAAAATGAAACTACATTGCAAATCTTTTCACCTATTTTTTTTCTCATATCAATAGATAGAAAATAATACATATATAAAATAGATATGATTTTTAATAAATGTACCAAAATATATTCAGTCTGATTAGTTCACTGCAAATATTTTACTCTTATAAATCCAGTGAGCATAGTTGTGTAAGAGATCCTAATCTTCACACATTCCACACTCCTACACCTTTCATACACTGAATGTGCTGCTTTTAATAAGTGAACATTTTGAGCTATTACATGGCAGCTACACTGTCTTTAAATATTGTATTGCATTTGCTTTTATTTTTATAAAGAATTGTGCAAAAAAGAAACAAATGAATCTGCTGCTCCTAGTGATAAGAAGCACAGTATCATATACTTTTATAATAGGCACAAAGATAAAGAGCACTTGGCATTGTGAATGTGGCTAATCCTGAGCGCAGTCGCATACTCACTGAACTCAATCCAGTCCCTTGTACTCAATCATTAGAGAAAAGAACAATGGCAAAGAACATGAACAAAATGCTCAGAATACATATTATTAAAGACTTATTATAAAGAAGATGTATAATTAGAAATTTTATCTTTCCCTTTTAAATTTCTCTGGAACAGAATCTATTTTTTTTTTTTTTTTTTTTTAGCATTCATATATCCACTTTCACCAGTGTTTTCAGATTTCCATTATGTAAAAAAGGACTGCCTACATTATATATTCATCAGATTATTTCAGTAGGATAAATTCCTGGAAATACAGTTAATAGGGCAAAAGGTACGCATATATTTTAGACACTCAATATATACTACACCAAGTTGCTGAGACAAGATGTTCCAATTTATAGTCCCAGCAGAACCATACACCGCCACTAAGCTTTTAATCTATAACATGCTTTTTAGTCATAATTCAATGTTACTATTTTAATTTGCACTTCTTTGAAGAAATCACTTTTTCTGTCTCCTTACCTATAAAATACAGATAAAGATATCTACCTAATAGTGTAACTATGAGGATTACATAATATTATATAAAATTCTCAGGACAGTGCCTAGCATGCAGTAGTCAGCAAATATAAGCTATTTTCTCATATGCGTATTTCTTTTATGCATTTTCTATTGTTACCCTTTGCTCACTTTTTATATTAGTCCTTTGCCCATTTCTTATTGCTTTATCCTAAGAGCTTGTTATAAAGAAAGTGAATTCCTGGTCTATCACATGCTAATATTTTTCTCAATATGTAATTTAAATGTTTGTATAGAACATCTTTTTAAATAAAAAGACAAATGCATCAGTAAGATTTTTGCCTTAGATGTCATGCTTAGAAAGTCCTTGTCCTCCTTAAGTTTATACTGATAATCACTTAGATTTTATCCTAATACTTTTTTTTAAAATTTCAATTTTATTTTAAGTTCACATATGTAGGATGTGCAGCCATGTTACACAGGTATAAACGTGTGCCATTTACCCTACTACTTTAATGATTTTATTATTTTATATTTAGTTCTTTAATCAAACTAGAATTTTTTTTACAGGGTGAAAGGAGCTATGTTTTCCAGTGGACATATATTACTTTTATAATTAGAAAACAACTCAATCCTCTGAATATTAATATTAAAATCAAACTTCTCATTATATTAATACTGGAATCAAACTTACCACTCTATTCCAACTCCATCTGCTAATTTTCAGACTGGCCTAGACAACTGTGAACAGACTACTTTGATCTGCATAAAAGCTGAATGTAATTAGTCCACAGTTAACAGTTACTTTCCTATTGGCATTCCCATTAATATAAATTACCAAGGTTTTTGCTATACCAGGGTCAGTAAACTTTTTCTGTAAGTGACCAGCTAATAAACGTTTTAGTCTTTTGGGCCGTACAGTCCATCAAAACTACTCAGCTCTGCCCCTGTAGCACAAAAGCTGCCACAGACCATATATTTGTGAATGAATATGGCTGTGCTCCAATAAAACTTAAAATGCAATTTATGGATACTGAAATTTGAATTTTACATATTTTTCTGTTCACAAAAATTCTTCTTTTGATTTTCTTTGAATCATTGAAAATTAGAAGATTCTTAGCTTCTGGGCTATACAAAAACAGGTGGCAGACCAGTTTGCCAATGCCTGCTTCATTTCAGCACTTTTTGGTGTATTGTTTATAGCGGTACCACCCAACAGAATTTTCTGCGCTGATGGACAGGTTGTATACCTGTGATTTCCAATACAGTGGCTACTAGCCACATATGGCTGATGAGCACTTGAAATGTGGCGAGTGTGACTCAGGAACTAAGTTTTAATTTTAATCAACTTAAATGTAACTGGCCATGTGGCTAATAGCTACCATATGAGATAGTGCATACCTACAGATTGGACCTAAATAGAATCATATGTAGATACAGATACAGATGTATGTGTGTGGCTATTTTTCTTCTGAGGGTCTAAGTTGACATAATTAGTATAGTCACAAAAATAATAGCTATTTACTCAAGTAAAAGCTCCATAATTTTTTTCCAGTGACAAATGGGAATAATTAATTTTCATTTCTAAGGCCCTCTCACCCTAAGTTCTCTGAAAACCAATTAAGCAATGAGCAGAATATGTGATCAGAGCCCCAGAAGCATTTATGCCACTCCTACAGGTGGTAGCTTCTCCCATTGCCGTTATTCCCTAAAGGCACACCATATCCTTTCTCCTGACCCTGCCCTCTCTATCTCCACAGGGTAAAAACATAATAGAATAACTGAATTAGTGGGAGGACTATAGCTATTGTCACTTTTCCTAGGTACCAAATGCTTTTCTAATAAAAAAGCACACTTACTGTCGGGTCAAGCTGATTGCTCCGTGTTGTGATGGACAGTTCAATGGTGGACAGCTGCACATCTTTCCAGACCTCTGGGCTCACCTCTTGGGAAAGGGCTGTGGGAATCCATTAGCTACAGGTCAGTTTCTTCCATTAACACTTCACCACCCACCAGGGACGGCTAGTTGCTAGCTGCTCAGCTCAGCTTCTCAAGCCTTTCTGCTGACTCTTCGCCTTTGTTTTGTTTGTTTCATGCCTCTTATACATAGAGGTAAAAATGGCACCTCTGTGCCTAAAACATCACTACCAAAAGCAGTCACATGAACAGAAAGATTGTGCACAGAGACTGCTATGCCCATTGATGGGACACTACTTGGGCCTGCTCTGGTGGCACACAGAAGGATGAATTCAATGATCCCTGAAAGGCTTCTCCTGCTCTAGTTAAGTCTCTAAACCTGATTTTGGAGATCTACTTTAGGGCACTCCTAAACTGACCAGGGCCCTCCAATCTTCAGTCGCCACATTGCTCACCATCCTGTGGTTGTGCCCAGAAGGATGCAAGCCTTCGTAATATTCTCCTGTACAAAGAAGGCCTTTGTACAGGTGTCTCCTCTGGTCCACTGGCAGGTCTCTCTGTAGGTCCCGTGTACGAGAGAGAGGCTTGATGAGTCTGAGGCCACTCCTTTTAATGTGGAGAGAGAAAAATTTTGTCATGCATCTACAATTCCACTCTGGGAGTTTCTCCCTGCAAAGGTTATTTTTCTACCTATGCCTGCTATAAAGCGAACTAATAATCTCCTTTCACTGGATGGAATGCTCTCTAATTTGGAGCATGGAATCCTCAGGTTTTCTTTTCCTCTTAAAGCTAGATCTGAGAAACCATGAATTCAGCAAGTACTGCCTCCATTGCTCCCCCTAACATGGACTAAGAACCACCATTTACACTTGTCCAAAAAGAGGGTGAATGAACATAGGGTCATCAGTAATAAATTTATCTTTGGCTTACAGATGGTGATGAAAATTGAAACTGATGAAATCCAGCTGCATCAAGTACTTACCTCACTTCTGGAATCTTATTCCACACACAGGCCAGAATGGTTTACCCCAGGCTCACAATTCAGTCCAAGGCTTCTCACTTCTGCATCAAAGCCCATCACCCTCACGCTCTAATTTTTTTTTGTCTTCTGTGTCCTGGCATCCCAAGTCCAGTGTCAACCTGGATCACATCCTGACCACATGAATAATTAAAACCATACCCTAGCCTCTCAGCCCTTGACATCACCTCCAATTCGCCACATCCACCCATTTCCATGGCCACTTCCTGTCCCCTAATGTCACCCAGAACTATTCCACTTTGGAAATCTAAAATTCCGAGATCCTACTCTCTAATCACATCCCATATACTTCGGTTGATTCTTTTGTGTCCATTGTGTCTCTTAGGGTGAAATGCTTCCCTGTTCTCAAGTTTCCATGTGGTGAATTACAGAACAGTAGCAATACTGGCTTCTCCCACTCCACCACTTACTCACTCCTCCCCAAGTCTAGAAGGACCGGTGCATGGATCCAGCCCCTTCCTTTCTCTCTGACAGCGGCTATCTTTGCCTCAGGTGTTCACTGCTTCTTCACGCAATAAGCTTACTGTACTGGTCTCTGCCCTGAAGGCGCTGTTTCAACTGCATACGTTCAGTTCACAGAATTAGGAGATCAGATAGAGACCACATATCTGTGCTGTCCTCCATTCCTGCTGACACTTATAAAGCTGATGTTTTGATCTCCATCTGCCTAGTTCCTGCATTTGTTTTCATACCTTGGTTCAAACTAAAAAGAGGAAGAGAGGGGTTTTACTGTGGGCCCCTGAAGACCTAACTGCACCAAGTTTTCAATCACATTGAGGATTCTACTCCCTGCCCACTCATTTTCCCTCAGTGCCAAGTTGATAGTCAATTACTCTAAATCCCTTTCTTTTTCCACTTACTCTTGGCCCTCCTATGTCTTTATTCTTCTATAATATGTCCTAAAAAGCCCCAATTGTGGATCAGCCTTATCACAAAGTTCCTGTACTCTTACATCATGGCTCAGTATTTCTAGAGGAGAAAATGATACTCCTGCTGAGTATTAATACAAGGAAAAGCAGTCACCCAAAGGAGCATTAGTGTCTACAAATTGTTAATTGTTCATCCTAAGCTGCCTCCTACTTTCATCTTTCTTCAGAATCCCCCATAGCACTACCCACTGCCTTTCTGACAGGATCACTTTGCTTCCTGTACTTCAGTGAGAACATCAGGGATGTCAGTGAGAATAACTTTCTCTAATCTCATTTTCATCTGGACCTATCCTTTACTCCTCTCCTGTATCAATGAGGAAATGGGTCCCTTCTGTCCAGGTACAACCCAGTACTCTGGAACCCACACCCTTCTACCTGCTCATGGATTTTGCCAGTTCAGCCATGCTTTCTGTCTCCTTTCTCCTCACCACTTCCTGTTCTTTTCTTTTGCTTCAGGCTAGAAACACATGGATATTCTCCACTTTTAAAAACTCCACATTGACCCCATGTTTCTCTCAGCTTTTGCCTTCCCTATCTCCTTCTCTTCAAAGTCAGGTTTCTTGAAGGAGGAGCTTGGTCTTGCCGTCTCCACTTCTTTACATCACTTTTATGTCTTTGATTTTCTTCAACCTGGCTTCAGTCCCCACACTTTGGAGGCTGCCAAATTCAATGGATACTCCTCTTATCTGTATATTTAAAGACTTTGCTTTTGCTTCTTGAAACTCTTGGATTTTTCTTGAAATTCTCTCTTCTGTTGGCTCACCTGCACTTTCTCTCCGCACTTCTCAGTCATTTTTAGTGGTTCTTTAAATGTTTATGTCCCTTAGGGATATTACTGGCCATCTGTACTTAATGGTAGTTTCACCAAACCCAAACCCATGGTTTCAAAACCACTCACACACTTATGACGTCTGAATCTATTTCTTCTTCTTCTTCTTCTTTTTTTTTTTTTGACAGAGTCTTGCTCTGTCACCCAGGCTGGAGTACAGCGGCGTGATCGCTGCTCACCACAACATCCACCTCCTGGGTTCAAGTGATTCTCCTGCCTCAGCCTCCCAAGTAGCTGGGATTACAGATGCGCACCACCACACCCTGCTAATTTTTTGTATTTTTAGTAGAGACGGGGTTTCACCATGTTGGCCAGGCTGGTCTCGAACTCCCAACCTCGTGAACTGCCTGCCTCAGCCTCCCAAAGTGCTGGGATTACAGGCATGAGCTACTACCCGCAGCCCTGCATCTATTTCTATAGTCCAGACCTCTCTGCTGAATTCCAGACCTAAATCCCAATTGTATCTTTGCTTGTCTGTACCACAGGTAGTTAAACTCAACATAGATTAAATTGAAAATTTCACCTCTGTTAACAAACTTGATTTAGGCTGGTATTATCAACATCAGTGGAGAACTCCAGTTAACCAAACTGTAGACCCTCATACCAGAAATCTAATAATCCTATATTCTTCTGACTTTTAAGGTTCTAATTTAATAGCTCTTTAATCCGTCTTCTATTGTCAATGGTCACTGTTACTTCCTTAGTCTATATGTCACTTCCCACCTGACGACTTTAACAATCTTCTATCTAATGTCCTTGCCTTGAGCTACCCACGTCCTATCTGGTTTTCTGTTTAGAAAAAAACAATTTTTCTAAAATGCAAATCTGCTCATGTCATGCCTCTGCTTAAGACTCAGTAACTCCCCATCACTTTCAGGATAAAAGTCAAATTGCACATCAAAACTTGCCATAACCTGCCCTTACCTAACCCACTGGCTTCACTTCCTGCCATTTTACTGCATTAATCTTAATTAAGGGCCATGTCACAACACTTTGACTTCACACAGCGTATAAAATGTCTCAAAATTTAGTGTAAGTGTCACCTCCCCGGGAAGAGTTTCTGACCTTCGTTAGATTTAGATGCCCCTCCCCTCTGCCCCATCTTAGTCTTTCACAGCACTCGCCAAACTGCTGATTTACTTTGACTCCCTCCCAGCATATGAATACTTCTTTAGGGTAGGAAACCTGTCTCATTTGACTTTGTATCCCAAGCATACATCAACAATTGTTTGCTGAATAAATGGCGGAAACAGTTTATATTCTCTCTGACTCTACCGTTTAAATATGTAGCTACTCTGTTTCTTCCAAAATGTACTCATGACTGCACCAATGAAATTATTCCCTCGAGGAATAACACATTTTATTAATCCAGTTTGCCTTTGGTATATAAAGACCTTGCCCTCCCAAGTTCATTTTTAAAATCACGTACATTTACTTCTAGTACTTTAGTGTAAAATATTTTAGTGTTTTACATTTAATTTTTTAATCTAGTTAGAATTTTTTTTTGAAAGGTAAAGCTATGTTTTCCAAATGTTTTGCTATGAATATATATTACTTTTATAATTAAAAAAACACTCAATAACTCTGAATATTAGCATTGGAACCAAACTTCTCACTATATTCACACCCCATCTGCCAATTTTCAGATTGGCCAGCCAAACTGTGAATATACCACTTTGATTTGCATAAAAGCTGAACATAGTCTGTAGTCCACAGATAAAGATGACTTTTCTATTAGCATTTTCACTAATAAAAATCGTTAGGTTTGTATAGTATAGAATAGCACTGCCCAACAGAATTTTTTCTGATAATGAACATGTTTCATATCTATACTCTCCAATACAGTAACCACCACCCATATTGAGCTACTATAGTTTGAAACCTACTGATATAAACACAAACCTGTACAATTAGATATTATATATTCAGATATAAATCTTCAATTCATTTCCAGGTAGTAATATAGACAATCATAACAAATAATCGGTGAGACATATGTCATTAGGTTCAAGGTTTGTCTGGCAAGAGTGAATTAATGACAAAGGGAAGTAGAATGCTAAAGAAAAATTAAATATGGGTTTGCTAGTGGAGGAAATGAGTTGGTAGATGAGGGGTGATTCCTTATCAAAACAGGAATGCTTTCTGTATTTTTATTTAATCAAACATGCCCCGTTTTAGTGTTGAGGCATGTCACATTCATCTGTAGCAAAATATTAAAAATATATACCAAATACATGTATTACAGAGAAACAACAAAATAACACAGCAAATTTCTACACTGTAAATCACATTTACCTTAAGAGTGCTGAAAAAGTGGGCTGCTTTGGTTTTTAGAGGCCCAAGATACCAGTACCTGTGAAAAGACCGAGATAAAAATCAGATAAGAATATTAAAAGAATCATCATGTGACAGATACTATTCATAGCAGACAATACATTAGAATTACATCTCTGCTATGAGTGGCTATTCTGGTAGCTAGGAGATTATGGCTTAGTATAAAAGAGTATTACATTCAATGTTAAATCCACATTTCGATGCCTTGTCAAGCTATAGGTAATTAGTTATACAGTAAAGATTCCTGCAATTTATGAGAGATATATAACCAGGCTCCTTGAGTCACTAAATTCACAACATTCTTTAAACATATTCTTTAAACCATAAAATATGGTCCCGTATAGAGTTGTCCCTCAGTCCAAAGTCTGCAGATGTTCAAGTCCCTGATATAAAATGGCACATTTGCACATAAACTATGTACATTCTCTTGTATATTTTAAATCATCTCTACATTGCTTATAACACTTAATACAATGCCTACACATCACTTGATTTTCATGGATTCAACACAGTACTTGGCGTGCTGCAAATTCAAGTTTTGCTTTTTGTAACTGTGGAATTTTTTCCCCAAATATTTGCTAGCTGCATTTGTTTGTATCTGTGGATACAATGGGCTAACTATACCTTCAAACGAGCAATGAGTAAAGGATGATAAAGCCACACCAAGATACAAACGCCGCATGCTCTGATGTGCTGATCCCAAGCTAAATGACTAGATCCTGTACACCATGTCCTCACACACGCAAATGCACATACACACACTCAGTTAAATGTGTAAACCAGCATGTCTTCACATTATTATTTTACACAGCTTTAAAACGGCAAATGTTAAATCTGGGAATAAAGAGAATCTATTGCATATTGCTAAATACATAAAAGCTACTGGAGAGAGAAAGACGCCTAATTGGAATTAGCAAATGGCACAAAGTAGATTCTTCTCTTAAAATTTGTCTCTGTTAACAAATCACTCAACATTAACTGCTCTCTATTGATTCTGATCATATACCTTTATTTAGCACCTACTATGAATATGGAGGAAACAGAAGAAATCTAAAGTATAAATTTCCTTTGAGAGCCTATGATTTGAGAAAATAAGGCCCAAATAAGTAAAAGAAAACAAAGAAAAGCCTAACCTGATCACTACTTATTGGTAAGGGGAATCAAAAGGAGACAAAAAATCATTAAGGGTCTAAAATCATTGGAGAAGCCATGCTTATAAAATGAAGGGCACAGAATAAAGTCAGGGCACAAAACTTAGAGTATGGGAAATAGGATAACAGCCAGAGAAAGAGGGAAAAGCTTAGAAGTAAAGATGCATAATTGCATAATTAGGGGTGATGACAGAGAAGTTGGGCCTGGAATACCAGAAAAAGAGCTTAGATGTAATCCAAGAGGGAAAGCAGAAACTTTCTAAATGATTATTCAGGCTAATATTGTGCTACTACTAATGAGGACCTTGATCATCTGATTTTTTATTATTTTTTTTTAATTTATATTTTGCTGCTTTTCCTAGTTAGCCAAGTAGAAGATCATCTCAACTCAGGCAATCACCTTGTAAATTTTCCTCAGTTTCCTTCATCTCTAGCAATAGTAAAATTTGCCGCCGGGCGCGGTGGCTCAAGCCTGTAATCCCAGCACTTTGGGAGGCCGAGGCGGGTGGATCACGAGGTCAAGAGATCGAGACCATCCTGGTCAACATGGTGAAACCCCGTCTCTACTAAAAATACAAAAAATTAGCTGGGCATGGTGGTGCGTGCCTGTAATCCCGGCTACTCAGGAGGCTGAGGCAGGAGAATTGCCTGAACCCAGGAGGCGGAGGTTGCGGTGAGCCGAGATCACGCCATTGCACTCCAGCCTGGGTAACATGAGTGAAACTCCGTCTCAAAAAAAAAAAAAAATTTGCCACTGTCCTTGTAGTCTTCCTACAGCCAGCTAGGAAATGACTTCTCCTATCTCTACATTGCTTTCTTAATACAAAGAGCAACGCTGTGAATGGGCCTAGCCAAGGTAGTACGTAATAACAATCGGAATTTTAAAATTCTTTGTTCAGAAACCAATCGAGATATGGGGCAAGTATATAAAATAGTCTGAAAAGCGTTGACCTGTATTGTGTTTTATTGCTGCTTAACACAGTTTGGAAAGCAACTTGTCCTAACCAGACTTTTTTAGGGAAAGCTAAGCAGTTCCTCTTGGTGAGCTGCTGGAATCTGAGATATCAGTTCAAACCCAAGGTAACTGTGGAATCCCATAATCATGGCACACTTGCAAATAAAAAGATGTGAAATACTTAAGAATGCAGTGTATAATATAACATGGTAATATCTCTCTTTTGACATTCCACTGTCAGGAATTTCATTAGTAAGAATAAAAAGTGAACAAAGTGAAAGGAATTTCTGTTAAAGCTGGCCTATGAAGTGAAAGAGCAGTTTCTTGAGAGCTACATGTGAGATCAGTCACAATTCATTTAAACCATACTCAAACTGTAAGCCCTCAACTTTAAGAAAAGGTAAAGAGAAAATACCACCCACTAGGTATGAAGCGAATCTCATGCGGTGTCCCCTTCAGTCCTCCTCAGCAAGCCCTTGCCTACTTTACCTCTCCACAGCAACTGGAACATGACACACCCTCTCTCCAAGACAAGACTTTCATTGTGCACAATGGATTCTCCAAAAATAAGTCAATTCTCATGAAAAGCCAGTGCCGGCCCTCTAATCAGCTCCTCAACAGGCCGGTTTCTCCCGTCTCACAGCACAGCCAGGCGCCGCCTTTATTTCTTCTCTAAGAGCAGCAGCCTGTGGTCTCCCAATTTGTGAGGCCTTCACAAAAACGCCTCTCAGGAAAGTCATCTGATTGCAACAGCTCCGTAAGGCTGTAGCCCAGGCAGTGCCTTCCACTTGGTACCCAGCTAAGCAGCTGCAGACTGACATGCAATCCAGTTCTCCCTGTACCCTAGCTTGAGCCTAACCTATGCTCCACCACTGTGTCTAAAAATAGAGACCACTGCCCAGCTACTGTCGAGGAAACTGCAACTTTCCCCAGCCTTTCTGCATATGGGACATAAACCTCTACCTGACTGTTCCTATCTCCATTATTCACACATAGTTCAACCTCCAGGCCCCCAATTTTATTCCCAGATCACTGTGAGTTAAAACCTGAAAGGCAGGGACAGAATAAGATTTTTTTTAAAAAACGTCAAACATTGATATAGTAATCCTTTACTTGCTAACTTTGACGCCAGCATCTCTGAAGGATCCCCATCGAAGGCCGGTCATTGCAAACACGGGCTGTTCCTTTTCACCCTGGAAGTTAAATACATTTCATTTAAATTCATGATTACAATCACTCACTGGGAATTCTTTACATGTAAGTACTCAGCAAATGTTCATGACCTACTTTTCATCAAACCAAAATTCTAAAAAAGTATGCTCAAACTTTAAAGATATTAACCCTGTGAGTGTTCAGTAAAAATACTGACATAAGTCACACTGTAATATGAAGCTAATTTTTTTTTTTTTTTTTTTTCTGAGACAGAGTCTTGCTCTGTCGCCCAGTCTTGCTCTGCGCTCTGCAGCGCAGTGGCGCAGTCTCAGCTCACTGCAACCTTCGCCTCCCGGGTTCAAGTGATCCTTCAGCCTCAGCCTCCTGAGTAGCTGGGACTACAGGCGCGTGCCACTATGCCTGGCTAATTTTTGTATTTTTAGTAGAGACGGGGTTTCACCATGTTGGCCAGGATGGTCTCAATCTCTTGACCTCGTGATCCGCCCACCTCAGCCTCCCAAAGTGCTGGGATTACAGGTGTGAGCCGCCACGCCCGGCTTATAAAGCTAATTTTTACATATTAGGTTTCATGAATCTGCTGGCAGGGGAACATACTGTCATACTTTGGAGTGTACATTAGGGAGAACCTAATTGTGTTGCTTCAGGTCAGCTAAAATTTCTTTTCTTTCATGTACTTGTCCAAGGCAAAGATAATATAAGCCTGCATTCTCCTAATAGGATCAGGAGCTCTCGAGTCAGATCAGAATCCTGGTACTCTAGAATGTTTCACCTGAATATCTGAAAATACAGTCAAAAATGTGTTACAAAAAGTCAAAAAGTGATTTGGATTTAGTCCAATGTTTTATGGCCAAATATTGCATATTTTAATCAGTGAGTTTCTAATACATCAGTGAATTAAGCAATATAGAGAAAAAATATACAATACAGCCAATGTCCCTAAGAGTTTATGCTCCACACTGAACCTTCCTTAAAACTGATAATCTAGGTACCAGGATTCTAAATGGAATTTTTCCTGTAGCTCAGAATTTCATCTAAAGTCTAAGAGCTGAAAACTGACAGGCACCTAGGCCCCTCGCCCCCGTCCCCCAGTTTAAAGAGAGCTACCAAATACTACATAAGACTCCACAGAAGTTGCTAAAAGCGGCCAGAACCATCTTGATTCCCACCACAGCCAGTGCAAGCAGAAGAGTAGCAACTGGAGGCAAATCCTTGGCAGTTCAAGTCGCTGCCTGGAGAAAGCATGCAGTCTTCTCTGCAAGGGAAAGAGTGCTTCCCTCAGTACCACCTTCACTCCTGTTTCACTACACCAAAAGCAAGTCATCTGCTTTGGAATGATGAGAATCGAGAAATTTCTAGGAGAATCAAACACAATAAGAGACGCCTGCAAGGAAAGGACACTGGCCTCTCATCCCTTTATCTAGCATCTGCTCATGCAGTAGACTTGCATTTTCACTCTCTGTACCTGCTCTACCAAGGGACAAAGGAACCACAGAGAAATGGCAGAGAAAAAAGGAGACGGTGCAGCAACTCACTGGCTGGTACAGCAAGGACATAGTAGTTTTCTGGGTGCCTAGTGGAGATTGGGGAATATAGCAGGGCTTTGAGTCATCTTGACAGTACTCCATCTGAGATCCTACCCCAGGGGTGATAGTACCCAAGCAGTCAGAGGCTGTGGTGAGAGCCAAGCCTGGATGTTCTCTACAGGAAGCTGAAAGAAGTGGAGCTAGAACAGACCTCTAACATCAGAAAACTATGTATGCCGTGGGGAGGAAGCCCAAAGAATTCACACTTGAACCCATAAGACATCCAGCACAGTTACATCAGCAACCAAGAGGGAACTATAATGCTGCCCGGTAAGGGAAAAGATTTTTCTCTAATCCTTTCTCTATGTACCAACAATGAAGGAGGTAGAAATAGTAGGAAGCAGAGAGAGTGGAATGAAAAAATAGCCCAAAGACATTGATGGGAAGGAGGACTGCTTATTAATATAAGAAGGTGATGGAGGATATCAATGATACAGTAACATTTGAACAGAGACTTGAGGTACATAAGAAATCCAAAGGAGGCCAGGGAGGTCACAGGGACTGGACTGTGCTTGGCCTTGAAGGCCTTTGAATGACTTCGGTGTTACTCAGAGATGGGAAGCTGTTGAAGGGCTCTGGGCAGAGAAGCGCCGTGCTCTAACTCCTGACCATACACTGGCTGTTGTGCTGACCACAGACTGTAGGGAGGCAAGGGCAGAGGTAATAAGAGCTAGAGGACTCCTGCAATGATCCAGACAAAAGATGAAGGCAGCTGGAACCAGAGTTCCAGAATAGAGGCAAGAAAGAAAGCTTGATTCTGGACATATTTTGGAGATAGAAACAATATGATTTCTTGACTGACTGGGGGAGTCAAATATGACTCCGGAATTTTGGGGTTTAATAAGTGACGATTTTATCAAAGTATAAGTGATCATTTAAAGACTGTATTATTTTTGGCTGGGTGTGGTGGCTTACGCCTGTAATCCCAGCACTTTGGGAAGCTGAGGCGGGTGGATCACTAAGTCAGGAGTTCAAGACCATAGTGGCCAACACAGTGAAACCCTGTCTCTACTAAAAAAAAAAATACAAAAGTTAGCTGGGCATGGCGGCTCATGCCTGTAATCCCAGCCACTTGGGAGGCTGAGGTAGGAGAATGCTTGAACTGGGACCTGGAGGTTGCAGTGAGCCGAGATTTTGCCACTGCACTCCAGCCTACGCTACAGAGCAAGACTCCATCTCAAAAAAATAAAATAAATAAAGACTGTATTATTTCTTAGGAATGTTACATGCTGATCACTAAAGATTTATAAAACGGTATAATAACATAGAACAATTATTTTGAAGTAAGAATCCTCACAGAATAACTAAGCGATCCTAGGCAGGTCACTTAACTTATGAACATTGGCTTCTGCCTCTGAAATCAGGGTCATCTTTTGCTTAAAACTAAAACTTCTCTACATTATCTCCTATGAGTGTATAAAGGGCTATCACCACTGTATCCTCCCCTGCTAGCAGTGAGTGGCCAATAATAAATAGAATTTATAATCAATAAATATAATTTTAAAATTGCTATTTTTAATCATAAAATGAGGTGACAGGATAACCTCATAAAGCTTTTATATGAGCCAAAAATATCCCTACTCTCACTGGAATTTCACAAACATCACCTCTTATGTATCTGAAGACAGATAAGTTTTTACTCATCCGCTCAATATTGCTGGAACCCCTACTCAGCTAGCATGGCGCTGGGAGTTGAGGACGCTCAGGGGAACAGGCTAACATGCTCCCTGCCTCGAAGTGCTTACATTCCCTGCCTAGCCTTTATGCTCTCCAAGCTAAATGTCTAGTCTTTCCATTGTTCTGCTTGATTTTACAGCCTCATTACCTTGTTTACTCAACCCCCTCTGTTGTTTGCCCCTCTTAATTCTGTCATCTAGAACTGAATCTCAGTGTTGTCTAAATTAAATCCCACTTAATGCCTTCACCTTAACAAAACTGCTAAGTAAGTATAATAGTGTGGTAAGTTTTTATACACCAGGCTTCTGATTTACATTGAGATACCTAGAGTATTAGGGAAGTAGGTACAACTGTACAATGGGTGGGAGGAGCTAAGGAGATGGATGGTCAAGGAAAACATAATATAAATTTTAAAATAAAACACGAGTTATTTTTAATTGATAAATCACACTTGTATATGTTTATGGGGTACAATGTGATTTACATGTGTATGAAATGTGGGATGTTTAAATCAAGCTAATTAAATATTCATCACCTAATATACTTATCCTTTTTTGTGGATAAGTAAATTAGGTGATGAATTTTTTTTTTTGAGACATTTGAAGTTTATTCTCTTAGTCATGTTAAAATATACATTATTATCTACTATAGTCACTCTGCTATGCAATAGATCTCAAAACTTAATCCTGCTATCTAACTGCAACTTTGTACTATTTGGCCAGCATTTAAAAAACAAGGTACCCAGATTAGGGGAGGTTGGAAAGCACTGGAAAGAAGAGAAAGGAGAGAAGAAAGTGATTCTAGCCTAAGGGAGAGAAACAGCAGTATGTGTCTATAGCATTGCCTCGAATGTCATAACATGTTAACAAGCGTTATGTCTGAAGATGCTGCTGCTACTGCTGCTGATGATGACAGAAGATTCCATGGTGAAAAAAACTGGAAAATATCAAACTTACTTGGTTTGAAGCAAGTTATGTTTACTGCAGTTCTTAGAGTCTTTAGTATGTTAATGGACATTACATATTTCCAAAAGAGGAAGCACAATATACAGCCTTCCTGAGATGTTAATTGTGCAACCCTTCTCTGGGAGCACATTTTTGTGTAATTAATGTTTCTTGATAAATGCTATTGTAAAGCATGTAGTATAGGCAAGAGGTGCTGAGATAAGTACTTGAGGCTTGCTGGCTGATCCTCTAACCCTGTTTTCTCTTTCTTCATCTCGGGGGAAGAATTTTAGGAATATTCTGTTAGAATTAAATAAAAAGCCTTGTCACTTCAAAGTTCCACTGATGTGGAATGCTATGTCCTAGCAAAAGGTGGGAATGGCTGTGGACAACAGGAAATGAACAATCACCGCAGAATATGTGTGAGCAGATCTAGAAAATAATTAGTATTCCGGATAGGCATAGGACTGTCAAGATTCAGAAGAGCCCTGAGGACCAGTCATGGAGAGACTAGTCCCTGTTGGGGTATAGATGAACACAGAAAAAATAAGCAAGGTCAGATGACAGACAAAGTAGAAGCCAATAACAGACAAAATACCACTGTATCTTAACCCACTGAAAGTCTGGGTAGGTGGTCAGATTATGAGATAGATGGGTCGGTAAACAAAACAAACAAAGAAAGACAAGCACACGGCCAGATCTTCACAGCAAAGGAGATGTGCTGCCCCAATTCACAGATTCCCTAGAAAGAGTAAATCCCTGGGAGAAAATCACCTAGGGTTTATGGGAGAAAAAACTGAGTAAGCTGGATGAAATAAACATGTAAAGAACACTGAAAAGAAAGCAAGTCCTATAAATCAGATAGATGCCTAATCTAGAAATTTCAGAGATTCTAGATAAACAGGAAGAAAGAAAGTAGAAGGTGCTCTAAAGGAGTTCTGAAGCAGCTTCAAGCATCATCTTAAGAGTATGAGCAGAGCCAGGGTCTAAAAAGGAGTCCATGTAATTAGCCAGGAATGACAAATAGGGAAAAGGGAAAGGTTCTAACTCCCCATGAACTCCTCTCCATGCCTTATTTGGTTCTGTGTTGGTAGGGTCTTAAAGAGTCTAGTTGAAAAAACAAAAAGAAAAAGCTAGAAAGAATTCCATAAACCTCCCCAGTAACTACTCTAAAGTCAAGTATCAGGCATTACAGGTGTCTGTTTATATGGGAAAAACTGCCCTTCAAAAATGACGGAATGGTGACAACTATGATGCCACCTGGACACAGCAGTTAAGTGAAAAACCAACAGACCATGAGAAGGAAAATCTAAATTCTAGTTACATCTCCAGCACGACTAGTCATAATCAAAGGATTCTTTTTTTCCCTAACCTGTCAAATGAAGATACAAATCTCACCTTGACTTCCTCACCGAGTAGGAGATTCAAGTGAAATGTGAACACAGATTGAACAATGTAAAAAGCTAAAGATAAGGCATTATTATTGTTTCCAAGGACATTTTTTTTTTTTTTTATCTTTGGAGAATCTTCAGACATATGTTTAATGGGCTTTGGGTTGTTCTTTAAATAAGAAAAATGTGGTATCAGGCTTTATCTATAATGCTTGTAGTACAAGGCTCTGTCTATACTCTTTTTCCCTATATTCTGAAATTAATTTTCAGAAATAAAGGAAAAAATAGAAAATGTATCCAACTTAGCTGGGTTCCTCAGAAACCAGAGCAGAGACTGAGTACCACGTTTTCTAAGAACTGATTTTTAAAGTTTTCTGCTTCCTGGGTCGTGTCATCAATATACAAAGCCTGTGGTAAATTTGACACTGGTTTCATCAACTCACAAAGTCAGTATATTTCAAAGAAAAACATAAAGGAGACAAGAGACATTTAAATATAAGCACAGCAAGAATTTCCAGTTAAATCTCAGATACTCTGGGATGCATTACTTCTAACACATATATAAGAAAGAATAAATCACTCAGTTGTTAAGAGATGTATCCTGCTGCACCTCCTTTGGTGATAACAGTATTTTAAGTAATATCTTCATAGATACCAATCTGTATAGTACCCTTCCTAGGCTGAAATTTCAGCATAGCCATCCTATTTTGTGAAAACAAGTTAGCTTTATTATATGCTAAAAGATCAAGTGCAATTTAAATCACTTTCATTATGACCAACGACTTCGTGGTGAAGAGTCCACACATCAGTGCATGAAGAAGAAAGGAAAATAAAATCCATGGGGCCCCAAAACAATTACAACAGTAACAGCAAAGATCACTGATCACAGATCATCATAACAATATAGTAATGATAAAAAAAGTTTGAGATATTGTGAGGATTACCAAAATGTGGCACAGAATCAAGAAGTGAGCACATGTTGTTGGAAAAATGACACCGGTAGACTTGCTTGGGGCATGGTTGCCACAAACGTTCAAAAAGCACAATATCTGTGAAATGCAATAAATCGAAGTATAATAAAACGAGGTACGTCTGTATAACAAAGAGGCTAAAGATAAGGTCTAAAACCCATCAGTCAAAAAGTAGTTAAAATTAGCCAGTTGTGGTGGTGGCTGTCTGTAATTTCAGCTACTTGGGAGGCTGAGGCAGGAGAATTGCTTAAACCTGGGAGACAGAGGCTGCAGTGAGCTGAGATCGTGCCACTGCACTCCAGCCTGGGTGACAGACAGTGACCCCTTCTCAAAAAAAGAAAAAAAAAAAAATAGGTATACTTTACTGAACTGTACACTTAAAAAATGACTACACTGGTAAATATTGTTTTTAGCCACATTTTTAACATAGGAGCAAAAGCATATTAATTAGCGATAACTAGAATTAATGGGTAAAATTATTTTCTCTGGGGAGTAATACTTGGGGTAGGAATGGAGGAGCAACTATTTTTTTTCATTATAACCTCATTTGAACTGCTACATTTGATTTTCTTTAACATGTAAGTGTGAATTACTTTCACAATTTTTTCAATATGTAAAGAAAAGATTTACCTTGATCTGCAAGACATCAAGTGGAACGGTCTCTCCTTTCACAATGGCAAGCGTGGCATCAGTAATGATCACACTGTGAAAAACAGGCAACACCCCCCGCAATACTGCCACACGCACTCAAAGCACACACTCAAACACAGTCTCTCTCTCTCTCTTTCCTGCTCAAAGTACTAGTAGCTGATCAGAGCAGAACAAAGTAGTATAAAGAATTACTGACACGAATACAGTGAAAGGCTCTGACAGGGACTCAAAGAGAAAGCTTTGGCTAGAAGAAGTTCATACAAGGCACTGATCATTTATTCATTTAACATTTACTGAGTCTCTGTGTTGTACCTGACTCCTATTTACCATTGGAAAATATGATACTTAAATAATAATAACATTTTTTATTCATTGTAAGAAATTCAGGCATTTGCAAAAACAATATTCTTGCTCTAGAGCCAGAAGGGTAACTAAAGGGCAAGGTTTATTGTAGTTATCTTAGCAAAATATAATCCAGAATCTGAGACATATTTCTCTTATTTTCCAGGACTGCTAGGCTGCACTTCGTTTTAATTGCTGAATCTTTTTAACACAGACTGTTCTTACCTCTACATTCTGATAGTCATTTGGAAGTCTATAGCTTAAAAAATATATTCATCAAAAGGCATGTACTATTGACATCTATGTAGCACATGTGAAACTATGCCAGGCTTGGAAGCAGTTCTAGAGTTTGTAATTTATTAGATCCAAGGTTAGACACACATAAATATACAATAGATAGTCCATAAAAGAAATTTTAAATCAGCAAATGGCTACACAGTAAGACATGCTGTCTCTTGGAGCAGAGAAAATGAGTACACCCACACCACACGCTTCCTTGCCCAGTGTGCCCACCCCTCCTGGGAACAGTCTGCAGTCTCTGTACATGGCTGGCTAGTCTCTTCCTTCAGATCTGAGCTGAACTATCACCACCTCAGAGACCTATCCCAGCCAGCCTAGAGGTATGTCCTTCCCTAAGCTCCATCACTGAACTGCATTCATAACTCTCCACAGTAGATAGATCGCAATTCATGATACGTATTTCTTTATTTACTTTACCATCTGTCTCCTCTGGAGATCGAAAGTTCAACAAGGTTAGTGATGATTTACACCCATTTATTGCCCAATATAAAACCTACACCTAGCACAGTGCATGGCACATAATAGGCATTTAATATTCATTGAATGCATTATTTTATTCTATAAAATTTCCAGCATATAGAAAAAGGATAGATGATTATACCATGAACCCATGCATTCCTCATCCAGCCCTCAGCAATTACCAACTCATGGCAAATCCTATTTCCTTCTATATCCCCCACTCATTGCCCCTACCCTGTATCAATTAAAGTAACCCTAGATATCTTCACACTTCATCCATAAATTATTCATTATGTATTCCAAAAGACGAAAACTTTTTTAAAAAAAGTGAAATATCATTTTCATACCTAAAATATTAAACAATTCATTTATATCAAAATATTCTTACTCAATGTTCAAATTTCCCCAATTAACTCATACGTATTTTAGTTTCTTTGTTCAAATCAGGATCCAAATAAGATGTATTAATTGCAACTGGCTTATAGGTTTCAGGTCTCTTCCAATTTATAGATTCCCTTTCCTCTTCTCTTCCATACTTGAGGAAACAGGTTGTTTATATTACTGAGTTTCTAAGGTTTGGATTTTACTGATTGTATCCCTGTGGTATTAACATGCACCTCCATTCCTTGTACTTTCTGAAAATCTTATCTAGAATAGAAAATCTGTAATGTATTTAGCCTTAAGCTTTTGGCAAAAATACTCCACATGGTGGTATGTACTTCCACCACAAGGTACTTGATATTCTGCTTGTCTCTCCTTTTGTGATGGTGGAAATGATCAATAATCACTGTCTACATGGATTAATTAATAGACTTGCAAACTGGTAATTTAAAAATTCTATTATTCCTTCCAGTTTATTATCTGGTCTGCAAAGAGAAACTTTCTTTCATTCATAATTTGGATACCCTGAAATATAGGTCATATAAGAAAGTCAGAATACTTGATTTTTAAACTTTTTAAAAATCAGTTTTCAAAATAACACATTGATTTCCTAGTATCCTCCAAAAGTGACCAGTTTTTCATTTTTATTTACCTAGTATCACTATGACCTCCTTCAGTGATTTAAAAATATTTGATATATCTTAATACATTACAGTTATTTGCCTTATTGATATTCAAATTGTCCCAAATCAATGCATTTTAATGGTGGGATACAAGGGTCAATATACAGTTAGAATGAACAATGAGAAAGAATAACCACAGAAGGTCCATATCAATGTTACTCAAACTAAGGAAAAACTAACAGCCCTTCCTTAATGCTTACTTAAGCAAGCAGAATTATCTAAGTTTGAAATAACTTCCGTAATTTTTATAAACCTTTTTTTAAGACTTCATTTTCTTAGAGCAGTCTTAGGTTCATAGCAAAATTGAGGAAGGTACAGAGATTTCCTATTTACCCCTACCCCACATATGCACAGCCTTCTCCAGTATCAACATCCCCACCAGCATGGTATATTTGTTACAACTGATGAACCTACATTCACACATCATTATCACCCAAAGTCTACAGTTTGCGACACAGGAACAGAAAACCAAACACCGCATGTTCTCACTCGTAAGTGGAGCTGAACAATGAGAACACGCGGACACAGGGTGGGGAACAGGGCCTGTTTGTGGGGTGAGTCAGGAGGATGGAGAGCATCAGGACAAACAGCTAATGCATGTAGGGCTTAATACCCAGGTGATGGGTTGATAGGTGCAGCAAACCACCATGGCACAGGTTTACCTATGTAACAAACCTGTGTGTTCTGCAAATGTATCCCAGAACTTAAATTTAAAAAGTCCATAGTTTGCACTAGGGTTCACTGTTAGTGTTGTACAATGTGTAGGTCCGGATAGATGTATAATCGTATGTACACACCATTAGAGTATCACACAGAGCATTTCCACTGCCTTAAAAATCCTCTGTGCTCCAGCTTTTCATACCTTAACCTTAACCCTGGCAACCACGAATCTTTTTATTTTCTCTATAGTTTTGCCTTTTCCAAATGTCATACAGTTAAAATTATCCAGTTTATAGCTTTTCAGACTGACTTATTTCACTTAATAACATGCATTTGAGGTATTCTCATATGATTTCATGGCTTGATACCTCAATTCTTTTTATTGTTGGATATATTCCATTGTCTGAATGTACCACACTTTATCGATCCATTCAACTACAGATTAGTTTTTCTTGTGTGAGTTTTGGCAAATTGTGTCTTTCAAGGAATTGGTCCATTTCATCTAGGTTATCAGATTTGTGGGTATGAAGTTGTTCACACTATTCCTTTACTATCTTTTTTGTGTCCATAGTATTGAAAGTGATAGCGTCTGTAGTGATGTCCTCTCTTTCATTTTTAGTATTAGTAATTTGTATCCTTTTTTTCTTAGCCTGACTAGCAGCTTATTGATTATATTGATCTTTTCAAAGAACCAGCTTTTGATTTCTTTTCTTGATTTCCTGTTTTCAATTTCATTGATTTCTGCTCTAATTTGTATTATACTCAGTCCTACACATCCGTAAGTTCTGCATTCATGGATTCAACCCACTGGATTAAAATTATTTTTTTAGACATTGTATTGTAGACTAGACTTTTTCGTGTCATTATTCCCTAAACAATACAGTACAACAATTATTTACATCATATTAGGTATTATAAGTAATTTAGAGGTGACTGAAGTGTATGGGAAGATGTGCATAGGTCACAGACAAATGTTACTTCATTTTATATTGGAAACGTGAGCATCTGTGGATTTTGGTCTCTGTGGAAGTTCCTGGGACCATACCCTTTTTCTCTTTGCTTTTTGCTTTTCAAACTTTCTATTGAGGTATCATTCAGCTCAAAGTTCCTTTCCTCAGCTATGTCAGTCTACTAGTAAGCCTATCAAAGGCATTCTACATTTCTGTTAGTATCTTTGGTTCTTTCTCAGGACTTCCATTTCTCTGCTTACAGTGCCCATCTGTTCTTGCATGATGTCTACTTTATCCATTAGACTCCTTAGTGTATTAATCATCGTTTTAATTCCCAGTCAGCTAATTCAAACATCCTTATCACATCCGCCTCTGAGGCTTGCTCTATGTCTTTGGGTCATATTTTTTGACTTTTAGTATGCCTTGTAATTGGTAGTCTGAAATGACATACTAGGTAAAAAGAACTGCTGTAAATAGGTCTTTAGTAATGTAGGGGTAATGTGTGAAGGGAGGGGAAGCAATGATTAGGTCTTAGGCTTTAATGAGCCTACGTCTCTGGACTTTGAACTTCACAAGCATTTCTCAGTTTTTTTTCTGTTCCCTTAGGTGGGACAGAATGGCTAGAGTGGGCTGGAATTGGCTTTTTCCTTTCTCCCACATGAAAGGCTAGAGCTGACTAGAATTAAGTATTCCCTTCCCCAGGCAGTTGGCCCTTGAGAATACTCCAACAGGTTAGGCTCTGGTTAACTTGTTTCTCCTGAGGACAGGCCTTGTTAAGAAGAACAGAATACTGTTGGCATATTTCAAAATGGTTCCTTTCCCCTACCAATGCCAAAAGCATAAGGCAATTTTTCTCTGATATTGTGAGCTCCTGGAGGTATATCTCATGATACTGTGGGGGGCTCCTTATGACTGTATCCCTCTCAGAGAGGGACTCCTCTCAGAGCTAATCACATTGAGCTTCAGCAATTTACCAATTACAGCTCAGGTTTTCCTACCCTGGCACTGGTTTCCAGTATGTGTCTCCTTAAGTCAAAACCCCCTGTATTTGTCTCTCCAATCTTGTGGGCAGCAGTTTGTCCTATGTCTTCCCTTCTCCTTCAGATACAAGAAGAGATGTTGAGTTTTCAGGATGTTCAACCTTTTATTGTCAGGACAGAGTGGAAACTTCCAAGCTCCTTACATGTGGAACTGGAAACTGGAAGTGTAACTTCTTTAAGTTAGATTAATTGAGGTATGATATACACACAGTAAAATTCATTCTTTTAGGTACGGTGTTTTACACATTTTGACAAATGCTGCAGTCATATAACTACCACCATGATGAATATATGTAACATTTTCAACATCCCCAAAAGTTCCTTCGTAACCTTCTGCAGCCAATCCACTCCCTGCACCTTCAGCTCCTGACAGCTACTGTGTTTTCTGTGGCTACAGTTTTGCCTTTCCCAGGATGTCACAAAACAGAATTGAAAAGTATGGAGCCTTTCCAGTTCAGCTTTTTTCTCTTAGCATGAGCTTGAGGTTCATTTACACTATTGGCTGTTATCAATATTCCATTGTATGGATGTACTGTAATTTGTTTATCCATTTACCAGTTGATGGACATTGGCATTACTTCCAGTTTTTGGCAGTTACGAATAAAGTTACTAGAAATATTCATGTATAGGTTTTTGTATGGACATATGTCCTCATTTCTTTTGGAAAAATACCTATAAGTGTGACTGCTGCTCATATGGTAAGTATATGTTTAATTTTATAAGAAAGTGCCAAACCATTTTCTAAAGTGACTACCATTTTGTATTTGCACCAATGATACCTGAGAGTTTCAGTTGCTGCATGTATTTCTCAGGTTTTTGTTTGCTTTTTTTTTTCTTGTTTATGCTATCCTAATAGATGTGTAGTGGCATCTCATGGTAGATTTAATTTGCATTTCCCTAATGTCTAAAGATTTTCTTCTAGAAGCTTTACACTTATGTTTTATATACAGGTTTACAATCCATTGTGTGCTAATTTTCATATATAGTGTGAGGTATGGGTTGAAGTCTAATTTTTGTATATATTCAATTGTTCCAGTACTATTTGTTGAAAAAACTGTCTTTTCTATTACACATTGAATGGCTTTGGTGCCCTTGTTGAAAAATCAATTGTCCATATGTGTGTGGGTCTAATTCTGGATTCTTTCTTCTACTGATTTATGTCTCTTGTTTTGCCAACACCACATTGTTTTGATTACTGTAGCTTTAGGATAAGTTTTGGAATTAGATACAGTAAATCCTTAAACTTTGTTCTTTTTCAAAATTATTTTGGTTATTCTACTTCTTTTATTTTTCTACATAAATTTTAGATTCAATTTGTCAATTTCTACAAAAAGCCTTATGAAATATTGATTGGGATTGTATTGAATTTATATATCAGTTTGGAGAGACTGACATCTCAGTACTGAGCTTTGCAATCCATGAACACAGAAGTATCTACTTAGGTCTTCTTGATTTCTCTCTTCAGTGATTTGTAGTTTCCATCATATAAATCTTACACATATTTTGTTAAATTTATCTGTAAGTATTTCATGTTTTTTTGTAAAGGCATATCAATGTTAGTTTCCTATTGCCTCTATTGTTACATAGCTATATTTTGGAAAAATAAATCTGGTAATTATGATTAATAAAGTAAAATAATTATTTTGTCTAGAGTTTAAGTGCAATTACAAGTAGAAATCATTTAGAAAGTACTTTAATTTCCATTCAAAAAAGGGCAGTTTCTAATCAAATAGGGCCCCTCCTAATCTATTCTGCTATGTGCAGACCTGGTTGATACTGTGAATTTTATAGAAATTGTTGCCATCCCATGGTAACTGATTTGAATAACTATAAAACATTCTTTCATTTTTTTAAACAACAACAAAAAAAATTTCCAGGTGAAGCAGTTAGCAATAGAACAGAGGCTTATCTGTTTTGATTTATATTTGTTTTACTTATAGAATCTAGAATCAGTAATTGTAGTCAACGTATTTGTTATTTACTGTTTGTCCCCCAAATGAATTTTTAATAAAATGAATAAAGTCTTCACTGTATCAGATACTTTACTATGCATAATTTCACTTACCTAACTAGACCTATTTTAGCTTTTTAACAATCTTCTGAAGTAAGTACTACTAGTGTGCATTTGATAAACACAGGTAAGAAAACTGAAGTTCAGAGAGACTGAACAAAATTACCAAGAGGACAGAGCTAGCATGTTACAAAATGAAACGCATGTCTCCAAATGTGTGCTATCTTAACCTGTAAGGCTGCTTTGGAGGTATCAAATGGGTATCAATGGACTCCCAAAGAAAAAGTCCACATTTAAAATCTGGGTGCTCTATAGCCCTTCCCATCAGTGTCGTCAGGACTAAATGTAAACACAGGAATCAAATCCACCTAAACCAGTGTTTCTAACAAAGGTCAGTACAACTTAAGATACTTAAATATCCCAAGATATATACATTGACTCAAATGCTTGGATTAAACTCTCAGTTCCCTAATAACCAAGTTGAAACTATTATACTTTCTCATGTTTCTCTATCACCTCATTTGACCATTTTTTCTCTCCAATATAGATACTACTTGGGAAGGAGGTAGCAGTGTAGAATATGAGTTTTAGTTTAGGAGAAAGTAAGTAGCATGCTCACAAGTTTAAGGTCATTTGATATGAATATATAAACTCTGAAAAAAGCTATCAGAAAGGATCCTAAAGCACTGTACTTACTCTGAACAGTATTTAACACATTGAGAGATTTAGTAAATGCCTTTGAAAGGCTGACCTTAAAAAAACAAATTAAAAAAACTGTTGTAACTCAGAAAGTCTTTTTACATCATATTTTTTTTCCTAAATTGCTTGGCAGAAGACAGCTAAAATTGCAACCTGTAATTCATCATTCTCCTGCCAATAACTAAAAGTTCTAAATAAAGCAGCACTGTAGCATGGAACAGCACTTTTAGGATTATTTACTTGCAGCATTCCAAATTCAAAATTCTTTTTTCCTGTGTAGTAACTATGGTACAACAAATCTTGACAGCAGTGCAAAAAGCAAAGCCCCGTTCTTTTTAAATAGCCTTAGGCATCTCCCATGTTATGAGGCCTACAGAATTCTGAACTCAGGACAGACTTACTTGATTACCTAAGAGCCCTGGGGTATGCTTATAAATTAAGTTTTATAAATTTTTAAATTATAAATAGCAGTAGCAACAACAGTAGTTTAACTACAAGGGAAAATCAGTTCCCCCCAAACTGAAGACTCTCAGACCCCGGAGGTTGCCACACTCTGTGTAAGTGAGCTTTTGGACAGGCAAGGGATTCTCCAAGGATAACGGTCTACCCCTGGGTCAACGACATATGCTATCTGAAATACTGGCTAAAGCAATTCAAAAAATCTACACTGACACAAGGGGAAAACAAGCTCTCTAATGTAACCAACAACTGAACCAGAGGATTCATTTTGGAGAAGTAAAAATGGGAGCAATTAACTGTCATTATCTACTGCCCTCCAGAAATTCTAAACTGGGGATAAAAAGTATGGCCAACTGACATGGCCTCTCCTATAATTGGGCCTCAGGATGGCTAATGAATAGCTGAATAATCCCCATTATATTAAGGTCTGAAGCATGAAAGAAGTTTGAATGAAGGTCTGATATATATCTATGTGTATGCCTAGTCTTTTGAAAAATGGACCAAGGTGCTTATTAAAAATATATATAGAACTGTTAAAAGATATACAGTTGACTCTTGAAATTACAATAGCAAAAATAAATTCACAAAAGCCAGCCTAATGAAAGAATTCCAAAGCAGAAAAAAAAATCTAAACCCAAACAAAAAAATAACTTGAGTATTATTGTTAATTCTAGAAGATCATAACCAGAAAAATCATGAGAAAATTTTCATTAAATCATGCAACAAATATTTATTTATTGACTTTCTCCAATGTGTCCCAAAGCTTACACTAACCATCAGACAGCTGATCGCTCAGCTATCTCTCCACTTATTTGGGTCTTCTTGACAGCTATTTGCTTAAAACGATGTTACTAATCACTATCAGAGCTCAAATTCAAGATTCCTATCTTCTTGAAAGAGCAAAGCTTTGTTTACATAATGCTTTCAAGAAAAAAGAATAATAATAACAATTTGCTTGACTCCCAAAAACACTGTTAGATTCACTGCAATTTAATTTAGATGTCAGGGCTATACTGCTTTCCCTGTCTACTTTGTCTACACTGCCTACCACCTTAGGTATTCCCAAAGGATGTGGCTATATTTACCTGTTTTAGCTATTTTTAATATCAAGATGATGAAGCCAAAGCTATTGGTTCAATCTTCACAAGGGACTTGCTATTTGTCATTGTGTATACTTAAAGCAAACAAATGATCAGTGCAATCTGTCTTCATTAAACAATCTTAGGATGTACAAGCACAGAAACAGTTTGGGTCAGGGATATTATCTTCACAACGGACAAAAGAATATCAAGTATTCACCTCCCTACCTGACCCGGAGACTTATTCTAAGAGTCCCACAACCCAGTCGGAAAACTTCCCAGTGAACTGAAAGGTTGAACTCTGATCTAGGTCCTTCTCTTACTTATCTGAAGTTTCAGGCTATCAAAACTCAAAACGGTTATAGCATACACAGAAATTTTTCATTCCCAGGCTTGCTCACCCACAAATGCTAATTCCCCACATTGACAACCTACTGGACTTTGTTTCCACTTTTGGCAAAGAGGGTATGACTCAAACTGCTGGTCTCTCCCAGTGGGATAAATCCAATGGGAATCTTACTGAAGGTAGCCTGCGGGGTGAGGGGGGAAGAAGAGGTAAGTTTTATTGTTATGATCAGAAAATCAGGCTTAATGGAGAAGCACAGGTGTATCCACTATGACAAATAATTGACCCTGTATCTGCCTCCCCATCTCCTTTCCCACATCCCTAGACCAGCAATCAAATACAGCTAGGTGGGCAATTTCTAACAAAGCAGGCAATGAAAACAAAATGACTCGGAATTTGGAAGAAATATTTATGTACTCATTAATGACATCTGTTTGAAAGAAATTTGGTTAAGATAATGACGGTTTTGAACATATCAGATTAATGCACTAGTACAACAGAGATAGTATTATGTTGTCACACTATTTGATAAAGTTGAAGATAAAATTCAACTAAAAATGTCTACCATTTATACAGAGATCAATGACAGGTGAAGGTGCTTTATAAACTATCTTAAGTACAAATAAGGCAAAGAGAATAAACAAGTTCAAGTAATGGATGGTACTGACATACCCGTTAACTTAATTAAATGTCACACATACAATAGATATTATAAGGTTCAAAACAATTCTGAGCACAATCTACTATTACCAAAGAGCCTGAGAAGGATCTCCTAATTATTGTATAAAAGTACGTAAAATAATGGTACAAAAACACTCATGTGCCCACAACCTAAATTTAATAAATGTTAGCATTTGCCTTTTTCTTTGTATGTTTTAAGAAATAAAATGATAGAGATAAAATGAAAGTCCCTCCTAAACCTATTCTCCTCTCTCCCTTCCCAGAGGAGACCATTATCCTGAGGCTGGTGTGATTCCTTTCCATCCACATTATTATTCTTTTGCCACATATCTAGGCATCAATTAACAATACATAGTATTGTTTTCTGAATTTTAAAACTTCACTGAAATGCATAACATACCTGGGCAACCTGCTGTTTTTATTCAATACTTTTGGGATTTAACCATGTAGATATTTATACACCTAGTTCATTCATTTTAACTGTTAGATGACTCCCACTATATGAATATAGCACAATTTATTTATTAAAAAGTTATTTGAAAAAAAGATTCCATAATAAAATTTTAAATAACCATCGTCCAGTTATTGGATGCCATCAATTACGAAACCAGAAAAGTCCCCATGTGTTAATATACGGGTTCTATGACATGGGTAGCAGTACTTTCCTTTCTAAAATTCAAGAAAGCACAACTTGTACCCATTTTAAAACATAGAAAAAAAAGTAAAAGAAGAGCAATAAAAAAGAACAGAAAAATAAAAGTTAAAACGCAATTACTCTTTCTTTAAAGCTCACCTCATCTGTTCGTCGAAGAACTCCAGTAACAACCTACAAATATAATAAAACATTATTATAAACCATATGTATTTCCTTTATAATAAAAAAACTGGATTTAATTTTCATAGACCATAAACTTATTCCTGTTTTCTTCTTAGAAACTCTCTTAAAAGATGCATTGCATCTTCAAACATATTCTCCAGTACAATCAGAACTAAATTAGATTGTATTTTTGACCTAGGATCAACAAAACAATAAAGACTAAGATAAAATAATTATTTAAAACTCCAAGTTGTATTATTAAAAATATGTTTTAAGTTCTATAAAATGGGTATAAATGTGATATATACATCAATTATACAAAAAACCCTAGTTTACTACTATGAAGTTCACATACGGGAAAAAAGCACTTTGCTACACTCAGAGAGAGTGCACTCAATCGTTCTTATTGACAAATATGAAGGATAGTATTCTTGTATAAACTGTGAAAAATATCTAAAGAAAAAAAAATTCTCCTAATTCCATCATAACCAATTATTAATCACTTGTTTATTTTTGCCATATTTCCCTCCAATCCTTTTTCTAATCAGTGCCTGTTTTCATTTTTAAATTTATTTATTTTACTTTAGGTGCATACTATATCTGGCACTTCTCCCCATGTTATCCCTCCCAACCCTCCCTTCCCTCCTCACCCACACTGTCTCTCTCCTACCCTCCCAACTGCCCCCAGTGTGTGATGCTCCTCTCCCTGAGTCCATGTGTTCTCGCTGTTCAATACCCACCTATGAATGAGAACATGTGGTGTTTGGTTTTCCGTTCTTGTGTCAATGTGCTGAGAATGATGGTTTCCAGATTCATCCAGTGCATATTTTTATATGAATGTAATTATACCAAATAGACAATTTCTTTAAAAACATTTTGTACAGTAAACCTGACCCAGGTCTTCTCCCTTCATCTTCTCCTGCCTCACTGAATTTCAGGAATAGATGGGGCTCTTGAGAGGTCTACTTCATTCTTTGTAGCCATGCTATCAATATTTTTCACACTTCATTAAAAAGCCATAAAAACAATTACAAGATCATTAGCACAGCCTTTTAAAAAGAAGCTTAGTAAGGCTCACGTAATTACTAAGTCAAACATAGGACAGTGCTCTGTCTGCTGTTAGCTTCTGATCCTTGAACACTGGTAAAACAGACAAATGGGGACAACAGGTAATCAGAAATGAGGTATGAATGTGAATTATAGTATACAGGATTGAATAATTGATCAGTGAGTGGGATCACCTGCACTGGGCTCTTTAGTGGCTTCCAATGTATAATGAATATACCAGTCTGCTGCATGAAAAAGAAGAGTACTTGCAGGGTACATACTTATTGTCCTTAATGGACCAAAGTAAGCATTAGGGTATTTTTATTAATAAATTTTATTATTTAAAAGTAGTCCTAGGTTCACAGCAAAATTGAGAGGAATACAGAGATTTCCCATGTTCCCCTGGCCTCTACATGTGAACCTTGCCCCCATTATCAACATCCTTAACCAGAGTGGCACATTTGTTACAACTGATGGATCTACATTGACACATTATTATCATCACCTAAAGTCCATAGTTTCCATTAAGGTTCACTCTTGGTGTTGTACATTCTATGGGTTTCCACCAATGCATAACACCATGTATTCACCCCTACAGTATCTTAATGAATAGTTTCACTGCCCTACCAATCCTCCGTGCTCTGCCTATTCATCCCTTTCTTCAGTGTCTGGTAACCACTGACGTTTTCACTGCCTCCATAGTTTTGCCTTCTCCAGATATCAAATAGCTGGAATCACACAGTACGTAGTCTTTTCAGAGTATCCTCTTTCACTCAGTAACATACATTTAGGTTTCCTTCATGTCTTTTCATGGCTTGATAGCTCACTTCTTTTTAGTGCTGAATAATATCTATTGTCTGAATGTACCTCACTTTACTTATTCATTCACATTCTAAAGGACATCTTGGTTGCTTCCAAGTTTTGGCAATTATGAATAAAGCTGCTACATGTGCAACTGTGTGGACACAGGATTTCAACTCCTTTTGTAAATACCAAGGAGCATGACTGCTGGACCATATGTTAAGAGTATGTTCAGTTTTGTAAGAAACCACCCAACTGTTCCAAAGTGGCTGTACCAAAGTGGCATTCCTACCAACAATCAGAGTTCCTGTTGCTCCACATCCTTGCCAGCATTTGATGTTGTCAGTGTTCTGAAATTTTGGCCACTCTAACAGGTGCATAGTGGTATCTCATTAAGAACATGTAATATTAAAACAAACACAGATGCATACATCTTAACATACATCTGAACATATATACCTCTTCCTATAAATGTAGTATAATATATATATAATGGAAAGGACATGAAAATGGATAGGTGAATCTGTATTTAT